ATTCAGCCTATTAGTGAGCAGAAGAGTGCAGGCAACCAGGCTGGGCAGGTATACAACATTCAGACATCTTTCTACCTGTTCCTGGGACCCAGTACATCTTAGGTGCAATTTGCAGGAGAATGCAAAGGGAGGGGCACGTGCCCAGACTGATTGTGAACACTTCTCATGTTTGCTAGTGTGCTGTTTGCCATGGAATTCCTCTAGCAAGCAGCCATTTCTATATTTAGCAATGGCTCAGGAAAGCACCCCAGCACCCAAGGGTGCCCCCTCCCATGGGTGGTGACTCTACCCTTTGTTGTGACTCCAATTCCCAGGGCAGGGCCTGACCTTCCCATACAATTTTGATAAATTAGTGACTAAATGAATCCACAGTGTGAAATGGAGAGAATTTTCAAATCAAGGGAAAGACTGGGTCTAGACCTGGGACCTCAGACCCACTTGGTGCTGTTTTTAAGTGAGGTGTAAATGAACATGTGGCCCAATATGCAGCTTTAGTGAACAGATCCATGTGGTTTTGACAACCCTAAAACCCCTCGCCAGTCCCTTCCACTTTCTGATTGCTAGTACCATCAATCCATCAGGAGGTTCTGGAACTGGAATCCTCCAGTATCGTTAATTTGTGTTTGAAGAGATGTTTCTTAAATTATATGTGACCAATGTATGGGCTCCCATCAGAGCATGAAGACTTGGGTTTTAAGAGGGATGCTGTTCAGAAATAGAGAGGTGGGTGTTTTGTTTCTCAGCATTCTGCAAATTATTCATCTTCCTACTAAGCAAAAGTTTTGGAAGAAGCCCAGGCTGCTGTGGAGATGGCTTGCTCACCCACAGGCGCCTGCTCATTTGAACAAGCTACTGGTGAATAGTGTTTGTTGCTTCCTTCACCCTCCCTTTTAACTTTTAGCCTAGCCCATCTCACTAATGTACAAGATGTTAGTGTCTATTGCTAGTATATTTTTCCTCTTCATCTTTAGGAGCTCTGAATCCATTGTTGGATTTTTCTAGTGTCTGCAAAACCTCAGATTCCTGAGGGACCTTATGGTCTTTAATTCTTGTGCATGGAGGAGGCTGCACTAATTTTCCTTCAAACTTCGATTGAGAAGAGGCCTGGTGTGCCCCAGGGAAGGACGAGGGTGGTGCTTTGTCATAGGACAAAGGAAAACAAGGGTCTGAAGAAGGGAACTGTACAGTTTGGGGAGTGGGGCTGCTGGATTTCAGAGAGGGGCAGCTGGTGGGGCAATCTCACAAGCAGAGTGGAAGTTGGTGTGTAAGAAAGGAGTGTTGAAGAAAGGCAGGAAGGTGGCAGCATATGTGCTGAAGATAAAGGAGGTGGCAGGGAGGGTCTGCCCAAGAGAGAGTATGCATGATGCATTTACAGTGCATTGGAGGGGAGTTTGTACAGAAGAGAAGATGAGCAAGTGTCAGGGAGGAAGGAGATGTGGAACTGGCTGGGGACTGGACTGGCTTTGTGAAAGTGTCCATCTCATGTAATCTTCTCCATGACTTAGAGGGAAGTAGTAGGATCTTGAAGTCACAGAACCATGTTGCCCAGGGATGCTGGAATGCAGTATTCTGGAAGGGCCTGGGAGCAGTGGGGCCCAGTACAGATGGTGTGTGGAAGACCAGCCTAGCCTTGGCAGTGATGAGCCCTGGGCATGAAAGGAGAGATGGAGGAGCAAGGCAGTGTAGAGGGTGCTTCCTGAGGTCAGGGGTAGAAGCCAGAGCACCTCTCAAAGTTAAGCATGGCTTGTCTGGTAACAGAAGCAGTGGCCCTAAGAAGGAGCCTCTGGCCTGGGGCATCAGGGAGGACAACCAAGGAGAGGCTTCCAGGAAGTCGTGTTGTTCCTGGCTTTCTGACTTCATGTGGAGTAGAGTGCCCTTTCAGCATCATGGGTGCCAGGAACCTCTCAAAAACAAGAACATACTCTATTCCATGTCCTGCAGATCCTGAATGCCCCAGCATAGGGGGAGAGATGGGACTTGCACCTGTGGGTCCATATCATCTTGGCGGCTGCTTCTCTGTGTCCCTTTGTTGGCTGAGCACATGGAGGCTCTGGGAAGTGATGGTGAGGGGGTACTCAGCCAGACTCTACCAGTGGGAACAGTGACAGATCCAGGTGCCAACCCTTTCCTACCTCTGCAAGGCCTCAGAGACAAGTGACTTCAGTGCAGTGATGAAAGAGGCTTATTTCAGTGCAAAAAGGGAATGAGATTTGCCTCAGAAAATTGAGGTTGGGAAAGGAGAGGTGGAAGAAGAGAGCAGTGAGGAGACCAGAGTCATGCTGGGCTCCAGTTTCCCATAGGGCAGACCTTTTGTTTCTTGAGTCTTGAAGGGTCCACTGTCTATCCCTCTTTGAACTGCTTCACTCATCTCTGTTTGAAGGCAAAGGACCAGGACACAGATCCAGTACATGAAGGGAGGAGCTCTTCTTGCAATGTAGAACTTTAAAACTTCACATTCTGACTTAAAAGTTCAAGTGAACTTTGTGTTCTCCTGTATAGTACATTGTGTTTGTAATAGAAAACATGTTCTGTGCCTTTTAAGGAAAATGTACCAAAAAATGACCTGGGTGTCTGCCTGTCCCTCCAGCACTTCCAGAGCTGGGAGGAAGATCCCACTTCATCATAAGCTCTATGTCTTCTCCCCACAGCTGGGCACAGGTTGACCCTCCACAGCCAGACCTTTTCCTCCCCAAGGCCTACCATCCAGAGATGTAGAGGGTGGGGCTGGTGGCTGATAGCAACAAAGCCAGGTCAGCAGACAGCTCAGGGGCCACAATCCTGCCTTGGGGTGTCCCTTCTCTGGATCAGCACAAACCTCCAACTCTAAAGGAAGGCTGTGGGTCCCTCCCAGCTCCTCCCCAGAAATGGACCACCTGGTTGCCCCGATGACCCCACTCTGTCCATGGCACACAGGTGTCTTGGTCTCTGTATTCCGCTTCTACCCCTTTTCTGCCTATCAGGTGGACTGGGTCAGATGAGGTGCTGCAGCACACTGCATTTTTTCCCTCAATGAAATGGGACGTGTTTCTGTTTTTAGACTGTGGCCTCTAAAGAGCCAGCCTTTGCAAACATGGAAGTACTTTTAATCCACAAATAGCCGTGTATCTCAGAGCCTAGTGTTGTTCTTTAAAGTAGAACTGTGGAAAGCCTTGTCCTAAGGATACTGAAGGAAGGTGTAAATCCCAGGACACAGGAGATGCTAATTATTATGGATCTCTCACTTTCCCATTAAGCCTCAGTATAGAATTTTTAAGAAATCTTTTAAATAAAAGTCATTATCGAAGCTTAATGTGCATACATGCAATGTAACACACCCAGTTAAGTATACAACTCAGTGAATTCAGACTGGGGGGGGCGGGTACCACTACCACAATCGATACCGAATACTCGCATCTCCTTAGGAAGACCTTCACAGTCGGTCCCCCATCCAGGGCAGCCACAGGGATCCAGGCTTTGCTGCTCCAATTTCCTCCGCCGTGGCCTCGGGTCTTGAGGTGGGTCTACCCATAGCCACCCACCCCCTGGCTCTGCTGGCCCACCTCACTGGTCACCTGTATACATTCTTCCCTCTTTGTTGAGAGCCAAGCTACAATATCCTGTACAGAGCCTGCAGCACTGTGGGAGCTTAGAAACCAGTAGGCTCAGCTGATGTGACTTTTGGAGTTCCGCCCAGGGCGACAGGTGATCAGCACACTCTGTGGTCATTCTGGCACCCTGCAGGCTGTGGCAGCTGAGAGAAGAAGGCTTTGTGCTTAGGCATGAGCTGTGGTCAGGGCAGCGGGCACAGAGGCCTTGGGCAGTTGCTGTAGGCACTTCACCTGGGTGTGCTGAGCTGTGAGGACTGCATGTCCAGTCTTTTAGATTTCTAGGCATTGCCTGGAATATGGCAAGTAATGACAGTCCTCAATCACCCAAACATTAATTGTAAAAAATCTCAAATAGAAAAATTGCATGTGTAGGAACTGGTGGGCCATTTACCACTAGTTGCGGGATGTGGGAGAGGCTGGGTTGGTGGCTCAGGAAGGTTTCTCCTTGGTCATCACCAAATCATGGGCAACAAAGGTTCTTTGCCTCTATTCCTTGCACTTGCCTCTCAGTAGCCCTCATCTGTTGACTTCAGAGCCTCTGCTGAGTCCTCCTGGACTTAGCAGTTTCTTCTGGGGTTTCCAAAATAGTGACTTTCTGATTCTGTCATAACTTACACTTTTAGTGGTAGTTCTTCTGTTAAAAAAAAAAGACCTTTTCCTCACCATTGAGAATGAACTGCATGGTTTCCAGGATAAATGTATAATCCTTTTTCTTTTTTTAATTACCTGTTTCCAGCTTAAAGAAAAGTCACTTTTGTCAGACCCCAGCACTTGGCCTTCCTCCCTTGCTTTGAATATAAGACAAAGAAAGCTGCTTCCAGTAGCTTGAACTGATTGTACTTTCCTAGTTAAGAGAATTGCTGGCAACTGGTTTGAACCCTTGGTGTCTCTCAGAGTCTGTCTGTGCTGGGCAGGGAGGAGAAGCCAAGTGTGACCAGCACTCTGGTGATAAAGCCAATGCTGTTTCCACTGGACACCTAGCCATTCACTGGCCCCAGCCCATCAGGTTGCTTGGAGGGGAATGAGGCATGGGGGCAGCTTGAACCCCATGTTATCTGTGGCAGCCGCTGGGCCAGGATTGAGAGAAGTTGGGGTGTCTGGAGCCATTGTGCCTTGTGCAATACGGAAGTCATGGTCAGGAGATGTTAGACCATCCAGGGTGGAGGTGGGGAGCTTGGGGAAGCTGAGAGTAGAAAGGAGAGAGACATGGACCAGAGGCAGGCTTGCTTTGGCTGAACTCATCCTGCTAGCCCTTCATCATCTGCAGAGCGTAGGTGACCATGCCACCTGGAGCATTCATTCTGCAATGGGAGGATTTGGGCACTCTTCTGTCTCGTCTGCCTCCCAGGATCAGTGTGCAGAGGAGAAACAGGTGAATGAACCACTGGGTGATGCTGTCTCCTCTTCCTACAGGTGTGAATGACAGAGGTGGTGCCTTCGAGCGCCCTCAGCGAGGTCAGCCTACGCCTCCTCTGCCACGATGACATAGACACTGTGAAGCACCTGTGCGGTGACTGGTTCCCCATTGAGTAAGTGTTTGTGCTACAGCCCAGTGTCAGGGGTGGGTGGGGAATGTACAGATCTGCAGATGCTAAAGCTGAAAGAGGCCACAGCTCCAGAGGCAAGGGTGGGCCTGAAGGGGCTGTGGAGGTCCACAAGCACATAGCTGGGTATTGGATCTCAGGTGCATGCCTGTCTGCTCTGTGGCTCTTCATACCTCACCTCCTTCATCACGTGAAGTTCCTCAAAAGGAATCTGCTGAGAAGCTTTAGTTAGCAAAGATGTTCTGTGCAGTATAGAATCAGACGATACAGACATAACTCAGGTATCTTAACTATAATGAATTGATTACATACATCAATATATGATCATACAAAAATGCAGTATTATTCATCCAGGAAGGAAAAAAATCTGTCAGAGGTATCCTTGTTGACAAGGAAAGTTAGGAAAACAAGTATAAGTGAAAAAAGCAGATGAGAGAACAGGTGCGTGGCATAATCCCACTTTCATTTCAAAACATGTACAGGGAAAAAAAAACTTGATACATACAGTAGGGAAAAGCGGGGGATCCTTTTATATTTGTTTGTTTGGGCTTTTTGCTTGGTCTTTAAAACAGGGTCTCACTATATAGTCCAGGCTGGCCCCAATTCACTATCTTCCTCTGGCTGGGATTATAGGTATGTACCACCATGCCTGGAAAAGGGGGTGTCCCTTTCCTTGCCCATCACAAGGGCTGTCTGACACTCCTATAATGAGAGACAAGCTAGCAGGAGAAAAATGTAACAGATTTATTTCATCATAGTCCTGTGTGACATGGGAGCATTCAGAGTGAAGACCCAAAACACCACAGAACTAACCCCCACCCTTTGCAGTACTGGCCCTGAACTCAGGGCCTCGTGCTTGCTAGATAGATGTTCTATCACTTGAACCACACCTGTAGCCAAAGTCTTCATTTTTCTGCTTAGGTTTGGCTTTTATGATTGGCTTTGGAAGAAAGGAATTTTGGCTTGTGGGAAAGGAATTCTAGGATTGTGGCTTGCTTCAGAAGAGAATGAGGGGCAAAAGATAGGGAAGGAGAGAGCACAGAGGAAATTTGCTTGTGAGGACTTCACTCTGAGGGATCATTTTCTAAGCTCTGGCAGTACCACTGAGTGCTTTCAGTAGTTTGAGGTGGGTAGATTATAAGTGTATAATTTCTCTTTTTTGCTTGTCTGTATTTTCCCACAGAAATAATGTGCCCATACAGCTTTTGTAGTAAGAAATACAGGCACATTTTTTTTTCTTTTTTTGGCAGTAGTGGGGTTTGAACTCGGGGACTGGTGCTTACTAGGCAAGTGTTTTACTGCTTGAGCCACATTTCCAGCTCCACAAACTTTTTAAAATTCAAAATGAATGAGATCCTGCCATTCATCAGTATTTCCATGAGTCTTGACCTCACACTTGTTAAACCCCAGCTGGTAGGAAGGTAGGGACAGAGCTCTTCTTGTACATCTCTGGGGAGGTATGAATTTTCAAGAGTAGTAGGTGACTTTATATAAGTTAAAAATTAAACAATTCAGCCGGGCTCTGGTGGCTCATACATGGGATCCTGGCTACTTGAGAGATTGAAATCGGGAGGATCACAGTTCAGCACCACCCTGGGCAAATAGTTTGCAAGACCCCATCTCCAAAATAACCAGAGCAAAATGGACTGGAGGCATAACTCAAGCAGTACGTGTGCCTGCTTTAAAAGCACAAAGCCCTGAGTTCAAACCCCAGTCCCACTGTAAAAAAAGAAAGAAGCAAAAACAAATCAATTCAACCCAGAAATTCCACTGCTAGAAAATAATCCAGGGAAATAAGAGTACCAGTGAAATGGAGATGAGGGCCTGCCGAGAGCCACATTGAGGACCTCACCTCAGTTTCATGGGCCTGAGTCCTAAGAACCGCACTGCCCCCCCCCCCCAGTCGTTCTTCCACTTGCACTGGCTGTGATGTTGCAGCATTGCATCCTAACTGCAGGGCAGCCAGGCACTCCTGGGGCCAAAGAGGAGCTGGGATGATGCTCAAGACTTGTTGAAGAACTTGTTAGGAGGTGATAAGTCAAAGCAGAGCACCTCTCTGCTGTGTCACCTCCTCCAGCTCTTGGTTGAAGAAAGGCATACAGTCTAACCTGTTAGGTCTCTCCCAAGTTAAAGAAACAAAACCCACACAACTAAAACTCCAGTGCCTCTGTAGTCCTGACAGCTCTCTGTGACTAGGCTGAATCTGTGTCCTGAGACTTCACACCTGGTATCCTCTTCCCTGCTTTCCTCACAGGTCTTGGCCTTGTTATTGGAGAGCAGTCCCTCACAGCCCTGACTACACATTCCCCTTGAGGTCATGTCCCCAACCCTGTCTTCATCGGAGAGATTTTCCTCCTCACAGTGTAGGTCTGGCAAAATCATTTTTTTTTTCATCAGAATTCCTAGTCATATCGGGGCAGCTGAGAGGACAGCTGTGATGGTCAGGTAGAGAGCAGCCTGGGGTCCCCATGGCTCATCTCAATGTGCTCTCCCCCTCAGGTACCCAGACTCATGGTATCGTGATATCACGTCCAACAAGAAGTTCTTCTCCCTTGCTGCAACCTACAGAGGTGCCATTGTGGGAATGATAGTAGCTGAAATTAAGAGCAGGACCAAAATACATAAGGAGGTATGTCTGTGCAACAGTGACTTGGCTGTTATAGAATTTGCAGAGGAGTCACACTGCCCCCTCTGTGGCCTATGTGTTAGGAGCCTGTGACCTGAGGGATCAGAGCAGTGAATGAGACTTGTATGCAGTTGGTACCTCTCTGTGTCCTAACACAGGAATACATATGCCTTTGTTCATGTAGTAAGTAATAAGACCTAACAGTGGGCTTAGTGGGGATGGTCATTTGAAGCAGGAATGAACAGAAATGTTACGTTGGGAATCTGCACAATTGCCATGTGATGCAAAAATGCCTGTGATTTGTGTTGGTGATGACATCACAGCAACTGCCAACACTGCTGGGATTTGTTGAAGGAAATGCTATGGTTAGTAAAAATAAAGTTATCATTTCTTTTTGTCCAACTTCATAGACCCCTTCTAAGATCTACCCACCTCAGACCCTTGGGGATCTGTGGAGGCCCGAGATTAGCAAGCCCTGCTCTAAATGTACTTCGTAAGGCTGTGGCCACAAACTTGTGTTCCTTGTGGTTGGGCTTTGGTCAAGACTGGGCTGACAGTTTTGGTTATAGTGACTGACTAGTATTTACCGTACTGGTTTTAATTCCAAGGAAGGAAAAGTCAGTCTACCAACTAGCAAATGATTGTGTTTGTGTGGTTTGAAGTTATTTCTTTAAAAGTGCAAGTGGGGCTGGGGCTGTAGCTCAAGCGATAGAGTGCTTGCCCAGCATGTGCAAGGCCCTGGGTTTAATACCTATTTTGCACATTATAGTCTGGCACAGGTGGTTTCTTTGGAGAGTAACTTTTTTTAGCCTAGCTTGTTGCTGAGCTGACCTCTTTCATTGTTCAGTGCTAAGATATAGCAGAGAGAAAGTAAGAGTCAAAATCCTTCTAATTTTTTCCTCTTGCATGAGACACTGTTCCAACTGCACCTTCACTTTGTTCCCATATCCTCCCTCCTTGTAACTTTCACCAAGTGAAAAGGCAGTGATCCACCTCCACCATCCACGGTGACTGGGAATCTTTTGAGTGTGTTTGTTCTCACTTGAAACAGACATAGGGACCTTTTTGCTTTTGCTCCCTAGCCCTCAGGGGTTGAAGAAAGCCTCTGGGTTCCGACAGTTACCTGGGCCTTGCTGAGAAGCTGGGCAGATAATCCTAGAGCAGAGCAGGCATGTCACGTCAACCAGGGCTTCAGGTAACTAGAGCAGTGAAGATGCCTTCTCCCTGAGTCTGCCATGTGTAATTCACTGTGGCTTGGACCACCAGGCGGGGAGTGAGGACTGCACCAGCCTACCCCTAACACATGGGAGTCACTCAGAAGACAGTAGACAGGACACAGACAATTCAAGTCACCTTGTTAGACAGGCATTCCACCACTTGAGCCACGTCACCATCTTCTTCTTGTTCTTTATGAGGTAGAAGAATATAACGTTGTAGTGGTCAAATTCATGATTTTCCCACACAAGATTCTGTGTCTGGAATAAGAGACACTGTGGGCAGCAGAGTAGGTGGATGGCCACCCAAACTCCGTCCTTAAGACCATCGGAGGCGGTGTGCTTTTGTAAACCTTTGAAACTGTGCACTTGTCTGACTGTCTCACCTCATGATATCACACCTGTTGTGTGTTGAGTACACATTAAGTACCCATGCAGGACAGTTTTTGCCTTTTGTCGTGTGTGTGTGTGTGTGTGTGTGTGTGTGTGTGTGTGTGTGTGTGTGTGTGTGGTGCTGGGGTTTGCCCAGGGTTTCATACTTACTGGGCAAGCATTGTACTACTTGAAACACATCCTCGGCCCTTTTTTAAAAAAAAAATTTGAGACAGGACACATCTGTGGCCCACAATAATCTGCAATTCCATGTGCCTTTTTCTGGGCTGGCCCCAAACATGCAGTTCTCCTGCCTCCACCTCCCAAGTACCCAGTGCCAATGTACCCAGCCCAGCCTTTACCTTTTAACCTGCCATAATGTTACCTGGTTCTGGTTCTGGCATTGAGTGTCTATCCTTTCATTGCCTAGTCTGCTCACCATCCCCAGGGTGACAAGCATACACCCCCACCATGTCAATCACTTGCTTCATTCCCATCTCAAGTCAGACCCTATCATCCCACTCCTCCCAGCTTGTTCCCACTCTTCTTGTCCTTCGTCAAGGCCTTTCCATGATAGCACCTTCCCAGATCTGCCACAAGCAGGTCAGCAACAATTCCCAGGACAGTCTCATGAGGACACAGGTTCCTTGTCCTTTCTGCTGCCAGACATAGTTATGTGTGTTGGCAAGGTGTTCTTGATTCAGAATAGAAAATAAGCATAAATGAAGAAACAGCACTTGCCAACATTCATCAGACTCCATATCATCAAATTCCCATCCCACTCGGCCCTGCAGCGGTAAACAGCAGGCTTACTTTTGAACCCAAGCCTGCCTATTCCATGTTCCCTGGGATCCATATTACACTATTTGTTGTCTGAAAAGTTGGTGAGTCTCCACTGTGGGTCCAGCCCACAGGAAAGCATCTCCAGGACACATCTGTGGCCCACAATAATCTGCAATTCCATGTGGCCATGACCTTTTAGGGGCTTTGGCAGTGGGAGGGGACTCAAGACTGGTCTCAGATCTGGGGGCAAAGAACTCTGGACTTCCGCAGAGACCATGACCTCATCAGCATCCTCCTAACTACTCTGCTGTACATAACCTTTACCTCTTCTCCCAAGGTTCTCTTTTACTTGAAAGTTTAAAGGATCACATATCAACCACAGCTCAGGACCACTGTAAAGCCATCTACCTGCACGTCCTCACCACCAACAACACAGCGATAAACTTCTATGAAAACAGAGACTTTAGGCAGCATCACTATCTGCCTTATTACTACTCCATCCGAGGGGTCCTTAAAGATGGCTTCACCTATGTCCTCTACATCAATGGCGGTCACCCTCCCTGGACCATCTTATATCCTTTACTGCGGGGTGGTGGGGAAGTCATGGCTTCCTGGTCAGAGGACTGGCAGAGCCAGTGAGCTAGCTGGGGCTGAGGCCACCTATAGATGACAATTAGTGGCCTAGCTTGCAAAGGTGCTTATCCCTGACCAACTCAAGCTGTGGACAGGACTGATGTATGTGATCTGGTCTCACATATTAGGAAAGAGGGTGCTTTCTGGTACTTGATGTTCTTCAACTTCAGCCCAGCAGGAGAGATGGGTTTTAACCTCTTGACCCAAGATCCATCCATACACTCAACAAATACTGATCAAGAAACCTCCTGATGTAGGTGTACTGAGGGTCAGCAGTGAATACAGCAGGCATGAGTCCCTGCGTCATGTAGCTGTGCGGGCAGGGAAGGAAACAACCAAGTGAAGGGAAAGAAGTTTTTACTCTTTTTGAACACTTAGGTTCAGACCTTCCTTATGGGGGTGCGTGAACCAAAATGTGTCTTCTGTCCCACTCACTCCTCTAATGATGGCCTTGAGAGAGACCAGGAGACCAGTCATAAGATGTGGCCCAGAAGATAACTGCACATGCCTGCGTGTGTGTTTTCAATGAATGAGTCAAATTCATTCATTTCAGATGTATGTAAACAAAAAATAGGGAGGTGACCCAAAACTCCTGGGCCTCCTAGCTCATGAAAAGTCATGAGCCCCATCTTTGTCATAGGTGCAGGGCTCTGTCCGTCTTGCTTTGCTTAGGATGGAGAGTCTGGGGGAGAACTAGGAACATTTGTCTTCTAAACCCCTCTCCCCTCCATGTGTCACCTTAGGGCAGGTACTCTCTGGAGCCTGAGGCTTTCTTTTTTGTAAACCCCTGGGTTCATGCATGCTAAGCAAGCACCTTACCATTGAGCCACACCCCCGGCCCTCAACATCTTCCTTGACGGAGCCCACGGACTACATCCAACACCTGGGCTCAGCACTAGCCAACCTGAGCCCCTGCTCCATCCCGCACAGGATCTACCGCCAGGCCCACAGCCTGCTCTGCAGTTTCCTGCCATGGTCCAGTATCTCCTCCAAGGGTGGCATCGAGTACAGCCGCACCATGTGATGCCAGCTGGACAGCCTCCACCAAGCCACCTCCCTCAGCACCCTGTGGAACCCACCTTCCTGTCTGTCTGACCTCTGCTGTCCTCTTCAAGGAGCTGGCGGCTACCTGCTGGCCCTTCAGCCTGCCCCAGCTGCAGGTCTGGTGCTACGTGGGCTCAGGAGCAGAGCATGCACCGTCTCCCCACAGGTAGGAGCAGACAGTATGGCCCAGGGGGCCTGGCACTTTAGCAACAAAAACAGAAGTCCCTAGACAGGCATGGAAGTTTCATGAAGGAGAGCAGGGTACCAAAGACACCTCAAGCCCCTTGCTAGAGCTCTTTATCTATTCACTTCCTAAACTGTTTTTGTTGTTTTGTTAACTAATGTAGTCACATTTCAAATATTGAAAAGGTACAGAAAGATAATGTCCCCCAGTTGCTAGGCAGCCAGTGACCTGTGTCTTGATCTGCTCCCAGAAATTCTACACATACCTCTGCTCTAACACCAGCACCATCAACATCCCTCACATGACATTCTCAAGCCAGAGGCCCAGGTGGGCTTCCCTGGTAGAACCACATAGATGAAGATTTTTCTCAGATGCAGCCGCTTGGTTTGTTTGCCATGAGTTCCTCAGTAAATTGGTCTCTTAGGCTCAGAGGACATCAGAGCTGGGCGGGGCATGGGGTTTCTAGAACCCACCCCCTATGTACCCACATGGGGGTTGGCAACTTGGATCATGTTCACATGACAGGCTCTGTGGCTACCTGGGATGCACACCCAAGTGTGTAGCCATTGGAGCTCTGTGTCAAGACTGAGGGGAACCTGGTGGCCACTGGCAGGACTGGGACCCTGGAGAAGGGCTCATACTTTGGAAGGACCCTGGCCCAGCTGCAGCCCATAGGCCAAATAGTGGGTGGTGGAGCACCCACAGTGCCTTTACCCTGCCCTGCTCTTCCTCTTCCCTGCAGGATCCCTGGTTCTCCTTCCTGCTTCTGGAAACTTCTCCCTCCACTCACTCTCACCATCATACAGCAGGTGTTGCTGTTTTCACTAGGAAGGGGATTCCCTCTCTGGACCTCTCTGCTCCTCTGTCTGGTCCTTCAGCTTCTTCTTTCAAAATGAACTGAACTTTGTGCTATGAAGGAAAAATGTGACATGGACACCCTTAACTCTGAAGGCACAGGAGCCTCAGAAGAAGAGGGTGCAATAAAGGGAATGCCATGCCTTTGTCCAGGACCTGTCTGAAGAAGCCTGGAGAGTGGGAGCAACCTCCACCCTTCCACAGGAGGCTGGCTCTGGAGCACAGAGCTCCAGCACTTGGCCTGGGGCAGATAGACAGTGGGACAGTTCCCTGCTCCCTAGTGACCTCCTGCCGTGTGCTTCTTATTCTCTAGAGGGATTGCAGGGCCCATCAGATGATGGTATTCTCCACACAGCTGACCTGCCCTAAGAGCTGGGCTGAGGAGAAACACTTGTGAGTCACCTGGGGTTCTCCCTTGTGCGTCCTTCAGTGAACTGAAGCTCCGAGGCCTGGCCAGATGCAGACATGACGAGGCTGAGCTCCACATCAGGCATCACTATTGCCATGAGCCCGTGGGGCAGTGGGCAGTCAGTGTCTTGATACCCCTTAGCCTCAGGCAGAGGCTGCATCAGCACTGAGTCATGCTTGCAGCGTGCATGTGTCAAGAATCCAGCAGCCTGCTACCCTGCACGCCCAAACTACTTGCTGCCAGTCCTACTCAGCACACTGCAGTGTCAGAGGAGCCGCCAGAGAGGGTCCGCAAGGCCCCTCGCTTCACCAGCATGAGGAGGAGGAAAGAACAGTTCAGCGGGTGGGCCTCAGTGACTGAGTGCTTCCCTTCCTCAGTATCTTCTGGCTCGTGGCTTTCAGGGAACTGGAGACATCTCAAAGCCTCCACCTGGCCTCACAGAGGGGAAGGGTCCTCACAAGGAACACAGGCCCAGCAAGAAAAGTGTCCCCCTCCCTCAACAATGCTGGCCAGCAGTGTTCCATGTCATGGTGATTGGGCCAAGGTCCCATCCCTGTGCCCTCCTTTCAATCAACGGTGATCATGTGATTTTTATTTCTGCTCCATGTGGTTAGGGAAAATTCTCCCAGAAGGTTCTGCTTTGGACATTCATAATCTAGCTTGGAGCCCTTGCCCTGCCCTTCCCTCCCTTCACCCCCCTAATCATTGCAGCATCCAGCCCAGTGTTGAACAGATGTTAGTGTTTTGTCTCATTACAAATAAATAGCCTTTAACTGATCACATCCCATCTCTGGAACCTGGTTGCTAAACTGTGGGCCCTGCTCCTGTGCCTGGGGCCATTGCTGTTTGTTCCTGAGGATGGCCCACCTAGGTGGGCAGCTGGTCTCTATTAAATCAAAGGGTCTTCAGCAGCTGCCTTGAGCTCTCAACCTTGAGCTGGGGCCTGGTGCAGGTGGGCAACTCTACACCCCCTACTCTGATGGCAATTCCACTCCTAGTCAGCAGAGGCCTTGGTCCAGCTCAGGAGCTTGCAGCGGGTGCCAGCCCCAGAGTCTAGGTGCTCCCGTCAGTCTCTCATGGAAACTTCTGGGACCACCAGGAGGGGCCATATTTGCATCCCAAGTAGGTACATAGGGAAGACCAGCCTGGGCCAGGAAGTTACCTGAGAGTCACAGTCTGATTATTGGAACTCTTCAAAACCCACTTTTGCCACTCTGATCATGTGCTATTCTAATCATATTCCTCTGGCCTCACCCAGCAGCTCTGTGGGGAGTCAGAGGCACCTGCAAAGTGGAGTTGGGATAGGGACTGGTATCACTGCCATAGTTGGAGGCCCTGATGATCCCAAGAGGCCAGGCAGTTGGATATTACGTGGCCACTGACAAGTGAACACAATGAACGTGCTGAAGTGGCCCCACAGGAGTGCTGTGCTGCTGAGGTGCAGCCTGGGTTATTTAGGCAACAACAGCTGCCACTTCTGCTGAAGGTCAGTGTCAAGATTAAGGGGAGACTCTTGGGGCCCTTGGCCAATTGTGTGACCAAGCATCACTTGCCTGGGTAGGGTTCACCACCACAAAGGTAGTCATGGTGCTCCCTGGCCCCTCAGCTGTGGGGTGCTGGCAGAGGCTGCAAGGCTGCTCCCATGATACCCACTGCTCCTGGCCTCTCTTGCCAGAGCCCCCCAGGACCACAGAGCAAGGCCAACAGATACTTCTAGCCCCATTACAGAAAGGAAGTATAGTCCCAGACAGGTGACACTTAGAAGCAGGAAATTCACAGAGCCATTCCAGGACTTCAATCCTAAAGGGAACCAGCTTTGCCTCAGGCTGAGGAATTTCCCAAGAGTCCAGGAACAGCTGCATGTGTCCCTGCTGGGAGAACTCAAGTGTCCTGGTTTCCTGCAAACACATTCTAGGAGCTCCCACAGTTCCTGGCTGGAGAACCTTCCAGCAGCCCACACAAGGGCCCTCATACAGTCTTCCCATGGGCTGACAGACTCCTGGTCACTCATCCCAACCCACTGCTATTCAGGAAATCACAGGCAAGGAGATGCCAGTGTACATTTCCACTAGCACATGTTGGGGGACCATGTGTACTCCACATCAACCCTGTCCCAGCAGGCTTGCTTTTCTGCTTCTCAGGCTGTTTGGAGTGTTTTCAGGAATGTTTACATAGTTTTTAGAGAGGAACTGTCTAGAGGCCAGTTTAGAGCCAATTTTTTGGGGGACCAGCTGCAGCAAATCTCTATCCTAGGGGAAAGAGCCTGAGCTGTGGCTGCAGTAACACCCAAATATGGCAGCCTATGCAGCAACTATGTTTTCACGATTCTTTGATCAGAACAGGAGGCAGCTGGGAGAGTTTGCTCTGTGTGACACCAGCTGGGGCTGGAGGATCTCCTCCCAAGATTGCCAGCAGCAAGCTCAGCCATAACCATGGCCTCCCCTGGGCTGTGTGGCACTTTTGGGATATTCAATTTCTTATGTGACCAACCTTTTCCCATAGCACATGTTGGAAACTGCCTGACCTCCTTGACACCCAGCAGTGACACCATGTCACTTTCATTACATTTTATTGATAAAGCAAGACCCAAAGCCAGTCCTCTTTCCAGGGGAGGGGACTGCACAAGGGCCAGAATATGGGAACATGTTGCTTATCTGGGCCACCCAAGTGGCTACCGAAGCCTGGGTGTCCCAAGGTTTGGACGCGGGTAGTTTCAGCCTCTGCTCTATTCTAAGGTGAGGAGATGGGCCACTGTCTGTTTCCAAGGACCCTGTATTGCTGGCTTCTAGCATGTCTCACTTCTGCCCAAGGCCCTTGGCAGCAGCCCCACACAGTTAGATGGTGGGGGTAGCTGACCCGTTTGCTTGGCAGCCTCCCTAATAGACATCTGTCTCGTTAGTGGTCCCTCAGGTCTTTCTGTCTTCCAGCTTTAGGAGGAGTATTGTGGGAGAGGCAAAGGCAGAAGCCCTTTTGTCACCTAGTGGGACTTACTGGATGGATATTGGGCAGCTGTGTCTCTCATCCCAGCTGCCTTTGGATGGAGAATCTAAACATCTCTCGCTGCTCCTCTTGGGGCTGTTGTCAACTGCTACAATTAGGTGTCCCCCACCAGAACCACACCCACATACTTAGAACAATCTAGAAAGTGCCCAAGGAGTGAGGTCTCCAGGATCTGCTGTCCCATGGACCTAGGAAATGACCAGTAGTGGAATAAGGGTTTAGGGGAATGGAAGGAGGCCAAGAGAAGGAGCCCTAATATCCCTGACACCATCACATGCAGCCCGGCAGAAGCCTACAAAATGCTCAGCCCTAGCCTGACCAGCCTATGTAGCCTGGAAAAGAGACAGGCAAGTGTTGCTGAGGCAAGTCCAGGAGCTCCCATCTCCCCGACAGGACTGAATCGTGTGGCATAGAGCAGGGGTATTCAGCCAGGGTGAGTGTACCCAGTGGATGTTGGATGGTGTCTAAGAGGTACTTTGATCACAGCTGGGATGAGAATACTGCTGGCATCTAGCAGGCTGCTCAGCACCTAACAGTGCTCAAGATGGTCCTACCACAAAGACTGGTTCAGCCCCAAATGTCAGCAGACAACCAAGTCCAGAGGAAGCCCATCCTGCCTTGGTCCATGGGCAGTGAACCCAACCAAATCCTCAGTGGGGTGATGCCTCACTTGCACTCCTTCCATCACTCTCCCTAAACAGGATCCACTTTCTTTCACCCTCTTTGCCCCTGAACCTGGAACACCATTGCTCTGTGTGTAGGCCTGTTGAGACCCTGTATAGCCTCCCCTAAGCAGCTCCTCATTCAGGAAGTCCCCACTCCAGACCTGGCTCACAACTTTCATAGGCCCCAACTAAGGGCGAAAGCATCCTGGAGTAAACACAGGACTGTTTTTTTCTTTTTGAGATGGTCTCACCATATTGTCTAGGCATGATCCTCATGCCTCAACCTCCTGTGTGGTAGAGGTTCAGGTATGCACCACCACGCCCAGCTATAGCAGGGATGCTTTTCTGACTAAATTAGCCTGATGACAGACAGACAGATGGACAAGAAGGTGCAGGCCTTGGCTTTTACTGAGATTAGACTTTAGGAATCCCTGGCCTCTCAGGAACCCAGTTCTCCGCTTGGCCTGGCCTCCCAGGTACCCGTGGCTGACTGGAGTGTGGGCAGGCTGCAAGGGCACAGCCATGCTTCCATTTGTTTTGTCCCACCTGTGGGACCTCCTCTTCCCTCCGTCCCCTTGCACTTTCCCAAAACTGGCCCAGGTCTGGTGCTGGGCAGCTGCGGGGTGGGGTGGGGGGCAACTCAGTGGGGAGGGCTACTGCTGGGGCTGAGCCCTTCCTCTGTGAACTTGCTGGCTCCTCCTCCTCCTCTTCCTCCTCAGCCACCCTTCCCCTTCTGTCCTCAGCCATGGCACTCGGGATCCCTATGGCCCATCTAAGGCCCCAGAGCGGGTTCTCTTGCACAAGGGACAAATGGCCTCCTCCAAGGCCCTCCAGGACCTCTTGGGCCTAAGCCCCACGCCCTCTGGGGGACTGAGTTGGGAAGGGGCACCCTTGGATGGGTTCATGCCGGAACTGGAAGCTGAGGAAAGAGGAAAGAGAAGAGTCACTCAAAAGGACCCAGGAAGAGGCTGGCAGCCCACCCTGGGGTCGATAGAACCTGACACCCTTCAAAACATAAGGTGAGGGTTGGGCACTTCTTCCTTGAGAGAACTGGTGAGTGGGGAACAGAGATGAGTGGGTTCCAGCTGTAAGGACCCTCATCTAACTGGAATGCCTCACTTTACAAATGGAGACCCAGGACCAGCAAGGGAGAAAGTTGTTCAGGGTCCCTCATCAAATATGGAGCTAGGACAGGAACCCAGAATGCTCAGTCCCAGACCTCACCTTTCCCTCACATTCCCTTGTCTTGCCAGACTCTCCAGCCCTGACCCTGTGCACCACCACACTGAACCCCATGGGTCTGGGAGTTTTATGTGCTGTGCACATCCATGGTCTCAACCCAACGCTGGAGCAAGGAATGGGGATAGATTCATCAAGACTTTGGTCTTTGGAGTATGACTTCACTTCTTAGGAGTGTTCTGGCCACTGTGTCCCTTGCTAGTCTCCGGCAAGAGGCTGGGGAATGGAGAAGGCACATTTGAGTCTATCTGAGTCCCCTGGGGTCTTCCCTTTCTGTTCCCAGTACCTCAACAGAGCTCACCTGTATTTCCCAGGCTGTCCCTGGGTGTTTGGGCTTCCAGAAGGGCTGAGCGGTGGCTGTTACCTGGACCCAGCATCCCCTGTGGCAGGTCCAGGGGCCAGGCTGAGCTTTCAGGCTGTGAGAGGCTGCACCCAGCCATGAGCCAGCCCAGCGAGTGACTCTCACACTGGCCAGCAGATTGCATGTGGCTGGGCAGGTAGAGAGCCAGGCTACGGAGGTGACGCAACCGGAAGTTCTTGGGCTTGCTTCCTTGGGCACTGGGACACTGCTGCTGCTGGGACCCCAGACCCCCCTCGTAGATGTTGGATGGTGTGTCTGGGTGATTGGGGCGTCCTTGGGCCCAGCTCACTGCATCTGCAGGGAAGAGAGCAGGAGGGTGGTGGCCAGCCAGCCCAGCATCCATTAGGGGAAAATGCAAGCACCTGCCTCTAAGATCAGCTCATATCTGCTCCATCTCCAGCCTTCCCAGCCTCAACTTATTTGTCTGTCAGATGGACTCAGTGTCCTGCCTCTGGCCTCTTCACTCCCTCAACCAGCTGGGAGGACTAAAAAGCCTGAGACCTCAACACTGAGATCCCTTTTAGTACTTCTAGCCCTTTGTGCCATCCCTTTATGTCTTCTACCCTAGAAAAGATATTCTGGCCCCAGTATACAAATTGCACAGTGGGTACAAGAAGTAGTGATCAGCCCAAGGTCACATGGAATGGATTAGTGGCCATTCTTTTCTCCTAAGCATGCATGCCCCTGAGGCACCCCAGTGGCTTTGAGCCCAGGTGAGGACAGGAGGGCATCTCTCCTGCCACTCCTCCCCACAGCCTGGCACCTTCTCTTATGCGGAGCTCAGAGAATGCACAGACCAAGGCTTCCATGGGAGGCCAGTATGGTGGGGGAGGAATGGCCAGGCCTTGTGTGCAGCAGGGTCCTGCTTTCCACTGCCTTAGGTGAGTCTGCAGATCTCCCATGGCAACTGGCTCTTATGATGTCACAGTGAAGACACTAGTCTTCCTGGACACCTTAGTTTGGGAGAGGATGATATCCAGGGCAAGGAAGGAGCCAGAACCCCAAGGGGGAGTTCTTGGTCCCTCTGGCTTAGGACAAGCCACATAATGCAGATTTGGCTCTGGCAGGTGGAGAGTCATTCTCTAGGTTACCTCTTGGGGCCTCAGCTTCCTTATCTGTGTGTGGGAAATGTAAGTTTGGGGTATAGACCTGGTCAGACCTGGGTGGTGCTTAGCACACGAGGAGAAGGTGGTTCTGGGTGACTGGACAAGATGCTTCATTTGTCTAGCTGTCCATTTCCCATAAGTTACTGGATGGTGCGTAGATAATACCCACTGTTTGTAAGAATGTGGAGGAACTGGAACTCTCATATGTTGCTGGTGGAAAAGTACAATGGCACAATCACTTTGGGAAACAGTTTGGTGGTTTCTTAAACATCCAGCCTGGAGATGTAGCTAAATGATAGAGTGTGTACCTAGCATGCACAAGGCCCTGGATTCAACCCCCAGCAACACCCCCCCGACACACACACAAATTAAACATCAAATGACACGATCTTGTAAGGGGAAAATAAAAACTAAAAAAATCCACATTCGAAAAGCCAAACCTAGTACTGAAGCTAAAAAGACTTCAGCAAAGTCTCACAATAAAAAAAAATCAGCACACAAAAACTAGTTGTATTTCTGTATGCTAACAATGAATAAAAATAAACATAGCCAGGTGCTGGTGGCTCAAGCCTGTAATCCTAGCTGTTCAGGAGGCAGAGATCAGGAGGATCATGGTTTGAGGCCAGACCAGGAAAATAGTTTGAGAGACCTTATCTCAAAATACCCAACACATACACACAAAGAGCTGGTGGAGTGGTTCAAGTGGTAGAGCAAATGCCTAGCAGGCATGAGGCTAAATTCAAACCCCAGTACCACCAAAAAAAAAAAAAAAGAGAGATTAAAACAGGAGTCTTTTCAGTCATCTGCTTTGTGACTATTTTCTTCTAGACTGTGGCTTATCTTTTTGTTTTCTTTATGAGTTATTAAAATGTATGAGAGGCCATGTTAACAGATCAGATTTTTTTTTGAAAAAATGGAATCACTAGTGCTAGGTGCCACCTAACAAAACAACTTAGAAATGAGCCAGTTTTCAGAAAAGCAGGAGAGTCACAACAACCAATTCACAGTCAACCAGAGCCACCTTGATAAGGAAGTCCCCTCTGCTTTAACCCACACAAGGGAAGTAACCTGAAATTACCTGATACTCACCAATCCACTTTTTGCACTATGCTGTTTCCTTGTTTCTGTTCAAGCTACCTTAAACACCTGACTGTTCTGCAGGGAGAAGCATCATTCTTTTCCGACTTTTTTTTGGGGGGGGCACTGGGGTTTGAACTCAGGGCTTTGTGCTTGCAAAAAGGGCCTCCAGTCCATTGTGCTCTGGTTACTTATTTTAGAGATAGGGACTCCCAAACTATTTGCATGGGCTCACCTTGAACCACCATCCTCTAGATCTCAGCCTCCCAAGAAGTTAGGATTACAGGTGTGAGCCAAGGGGGCCCAGCTAAATTTTTTTTTTTCTATTTTAATGATGTCCAACTTAACCCAAAAGAATTTTTTTAGGGATTGTGCTTTTGGCGTATCTAAGACATTCTAGTTTAAGGTTTTATATTTAGGTTTGTGAACCATTTTAAATTAGTTTTTGTAGAATAAGTGTCAGATAAGAGTAAAGATTCATTTATTTGCTATGGATTTCCAATGTTTCAAAACAAACAGTCTTCCTTGCAAAGACTATTCTTTCTCCATTCAAGTGTAGTCACCTTTGTTGGACTGGCCACAAATGTATGGCTCTATTTCACACTAAGTTCTTGTCTATTATTTGGCCAATGTCACAACGTCCCGACAGAGGGCGTACTTCCATTCAGCAGCCTCCCCATCCTGGGGGCTCGCCTTGTCTTTGCCCACCCCTCCGGGCTCAGCCCATTTCACTTCCTTTTTGTCGTTTGTTTCCCCGACGCATTTGTGGCCTGCAGGGGAGATGTCCCCTGCTGAGCATCAGGATGACACGGGCACGTGCTAGGGGCGGTTCTGGAACCCCAGCGCACTCCGCAGGGACTGCGCGCGAAGAGGCCACGGTTGCCACGACAACCGCACGCCCGCGAGGCTCTGGACCGATTTCCGGCTTGTCGCGAAGATCGAGCCGACAGCGCGTGCGCTGGATCCCGGAAAGGCGCACATGCTGGTGCGTCTCAGCTGGTCCTGGCAAGTGTGTCCTCGTCTTTGCGCTATGGATGCTTTTCTCGCCTTCAGCCATCCATTTGCAGACAGGAAGCGTGCTGTGCACGGTACCCAGCTTAATGAGAGTATAGTACACTATAGAAGCGAGGTAATGAAAGCAACACAGGACTGCCTGGCAAACTGTCTAGCACACAAAACTCAGTATGTCAGCCAGTGCCAGATGTCTGCAAAGTGCCCCTAGAAAAGCGTTCATTCCGCCGCCTCTCTCCTTGTGCGCATGCGCGCGCCGGGCCGCTCGCTGCCTGTGATGTTTGGCCTGGGTGGCGCCCCGTCCAGAGCGCCTAGGGTTGCCATAGAGACCCGCGAGCGCAGGGCCTGCGTTCGCCGAGGGGAGAACGCCGGTGACTCGGACTCCTGGGGACCAGAGCGCCATGTCTTTCCGCGACCTCCGCAGTAAGACACCCCGCCCCTGTGCATGCGGGTCTTCCAGAGACTGGGCGCTCCGGCCCCGCCCGCGGGGTCCCCTTGCTGAATCCCCGGCCAGGCCTGGCCTCTGGGCTGTCCTGAGCCCCAGCCCTGACCACCTTTATCTAAGTTTTTCTTTTCTGTGGAACCGGGGTTTGAACTCAGGGCTTCCCGCTTGCAAGGCAGGTGTTCTACCACTTGAGCCACAGTTCCAGTCCGTTTTGCTCTTATTTTGAAGATGGGGGGGTGGGGGGGAAGGTTCTCACGAACTCTTTGCCCAGGCTGTCCTCGAACCGCGATTCTCCCGGTCTCAGCCTCCCAAGTAGCTAGGATTACAAAGTGAGCAACCGGTGCTCAGCAATTTTACCTAATTTTAACTCCCTTGTATTTGTACAGCCACTTGGAGCTGTTCGCTGCCGTATTGTAAAAGGCAAGGAAAATGCATATTATTCCTGAGTTTTGTTAGCTTAGAAATCGGATGAAAGAAACAGTAAAACCAAGGAGAGGACTGGATAATGGTGATAATTGCTTCTAAGGGATTTTTTTTTTCTTCTTTCTGTACTGTTCTGTACTAGAGAGGGAACCCAGGGACTCCGGCATGCTAGGCAAGCTCTCCACCACTTAATGTGTGTTCCTGCCCTTTTGTTTATGTGTTTGCTTTTGAGACGGGATCCCTAACTGTATCCTGGCTGACCTCAAATTCAGGATCCTCCTACCTCCACCTCCCGAGTAACTGGGATTGCAAGTGTGCACCGGCACCTGTAAATTGAGTTTTTATGATCTGCCAGGTACTGTTCTGTGTATGGGCATCATTTCATTTAATCCTCTAAACAGTTTTGTGCCGCCTGTGTTTTGGAGATGAAATGGGCACAGAAAGGTCAAGTAATTTGGACAAGATGGCATTGGAGTTTGAACTCGGGTTGTCTCAACTCCAAAGCCAGTGTCCTTCTGAAGTGGCTGGTGAGGAGAAGGGGACTTGAATACCCTTGCCAGAAAGGTGGGGATGTGGAAGGGTAGATTATTAGTTACTACTCCTTTGGGGGACATCTGTAACAGTATCTTATTTTAGTCCTCACATCAACAGTGACGGAGATGGTATAATTTGCAGATGAAATACTTTGAGACATAGAGAGATAAAGTAGCTTGCTTTAGGTCACACAGCTAGAACAGGGTGAAAATAAGGATTAAGACATAGGAATATGACTCAAAATCTTTTGCTTTTTATAAGCTGTTATTTTCTGACTCAAGCCGTTCAGCTACCTGGGTCACCTGCTGATGAGTAGTGATCCACCTTGGTTCTCTGAAGGAATCTCTTTCAGGCCAGTTTTCTCACCAAATTGCTGGCTCCTGGAATTTCTGAATTACAGAGTGCTTTCATTTGTGAATTGCTCTCTCTCTATATATATATATACTATGTAAACATCCAGGAAGACACATTACATTTTAATGACGCAGCCATTAGCATGCTAGAGTGAGGGTCCTTGGTGACTGTGCAGTATAAAGAATGGTGTCTCTTCCCATGCAGTTTTGGTGAGGCCAGCACTTTGCTAGGGGATGTTGTATGGAGTTGTACTTGAAAAGAGTGATGAGAAGAGAATTTCAGAATACTCACCTTAAGTGAATGCTGTGCAATAAGTGGTAAAAATCTTACTCATAGTCCTGTCCATTTGACAGTGCTGCAGAGTTACTCTTACTTAGTGGGAAGAAGTATTCAGGCAAGGCCTGTAATGGAAAGGCTGCTACTTTATTTTCCATCACTCTATTCAGATTTTCCAGTCACAGGGACCTGTTGATTTTTCTCTTTCCTATGCTCACACCTTCTCTTCCGCTGTCTGATGGACTCTGGCCTAACTCCCTAGCTACTCAGGAGGCAGAGATCAAGAGGATCACAGTTCAAAGCCAGACCAGGCAAATAGTTCGTGAGAACCTATCTTGAAAACACTTGACACAAAACAGGGCTGGTTGAGTGGCTCAAGTGGTAGAGCACCTACCAAGCCTTGAGGCCCTGAGGTCAAACCCCAGTATTGTGCACACTCATACACACACACACACACACACACACAGTTAAGAGTGAGATTGACATTACATAGCAGAAAGCATGCTTAGGATAGAGCTTGGTACATCATGGGGCTCAGAACTGTTGGTTGTGCTCATTTCCAATTTCTGCTTTCTTGAAAGCTTTATAGCTTTTCCTGAGGTGCTCCCAATCTACAGTAGTAGCTAGTATTAGTATTACTATTTACTTTTATTTTCTTCTCTCTTTCTGAGATAAACTATTGTATACTGCAGGCTACAATATTGTACTTTTGCCTCTGCCTCCCAAGTGCTAGGATTACAGACATGTACAGCCATGCCCAGCTAGTATTACTGTTTCTTAATCTGTTTTATTAAAAAAAAAAACTGAATTCAACCACTCTCTAAGATTTCTCAAAATATGAGGCAACTAATCTTTAAGATTGTGGGGTGTTAAGGTGTGGACTATGGGTATGGATCAAGAGCTGCCTAGCAAATGCAAAAGCCCTGAGTTCAAACTCCAGTACTGCCCAAAAAATTGTGGGGTTGTTGTTGTTGTTGTTGTTGTTAGTTGGTTGTTTTTGAGACAGGGTCTCAACTATGCAACCCATGCTGGCCTTAAGCTCAAGATTCTTCTGTCTCTACTTCCTAAGTGCTGGGGTTAAGGTCTCACATGCTCAATTTAAAAAAAGAAAAGAAAGACATTTTAGAAGTATGAACTTTCCCCTACCCCAGCTCCCTGGATATAGCTACTGTTAACATTTTAAGATTTTTTTCCTTGTGATATTTTATGAGACCAGAGAGTAGTAAAGAGAAAGATACCAGAAATTAATGCTACAGCTAACTCCCAAACCCCATGTTCCTGTGCACACATCTATTTCTCCCATTGAACACAAATAGATGTTTTTAAGTTCAGGTAGCATATTAGGTATTTAAAAATGCATCAGCTTTTTTCCTTTTCCTCCTAGAGAGTTGGTAAATAGTACCTGATGCCCAGAAGAACCTCTTAAGAAGGCAAAGCAGAGACAGTACTAAATTAGCTGCCTATTAAAGGTAGCTGCTTTGGAGGAGGAACTGACTGAATTGCTTTTTCCTTGGGCAGATTTCACAGAGATGATGAGAGCCCTGGGATACCCACGACACATTTCTATGGAGAATTTCCGCACACCCAATTTTGGACTTGTGTCTGAAGTGCTCCTCTGGCTTGTGAAAAGGTTAGAACTGCACTTCATTCAGTTCCAAGGATGTATAGTAGATTTTGTTCATTAGCTAACTGGAAGCAGGACACCGTTGTGATGCAAAACCTCCTTTCACACTTCAAGTTCCCTGAATTAGAAATAGTTTAGATTTCTCTTTGTTTGGAAAATCTAATATGATCCAGGGTTGGCAGTCGTTTGTGTTAAAGGCCTGTTGCTGCACATAAAATTCAGACTATATAAGCTCTCTGTCCCATATTCTTTTTTTTGTTGTTTTTTGTAGTAGTAGTAGTAGTGTTAGAACTCAGGGCTCTGCGCTTGCTAGGCAGCTGCTATACAACATGAGCCATGCCTCCAGCCCTCATTGCTCTGGTTATTTTTGAGGAAGGGTCTCACTTTTTGCCTGGGCTGGCCTGGACTGCACTCCTATCTTATGCTTACTGCAATTTGTGGAATGACAGGCACATGTCACCACACCCAAATTTTTTCTGTTGAGATGAGGTTTCATGAACTTTACTTTTGTGCTGGCTGGTCTGGAACCATGATCCTCCTGATCTCAGCCTCCTATGTGGCTAAGATGACAGGCATGACCCACCCATTAACACATATTCTTTGTTCTGAAAATGTAAAAATTGTTAAAAATTGGAAAAAGAAATAAGCAAAAGTTTCAAAAAAAAGAGGGAAAAAAACTGTTCTTGTCTTGCATGATATACAAAAACAGGTCAAGGGCCACAGTCTGATGACTCCTGGTGAAGTATCAGTAACTCAAAGAAAATAGCTCCAACAATTCTGCTGCTTCTCAAAATGAACTGTTTAGCCCTTGAGGACAAGGGCAGCCAGCCAGGGTCAGAGTTCTGATTATTTTCACCAAACCTGGAGGTCTGATATAGATTTAATTTTGTAAACTGAGCCCCATGTTTGATTTTTAAGTTACCTAAACCTGTTCTTAGGTGGGGATTTGCTCCCTTGGTATTTTGTGTTGCTTTTGAAGTTCTGCCTTAGCTGGGAGAGCCTCATGTTAGTGACCCCCTGTCCTCTCAGTTGCCCACTTTTTTAAATGGATTTTATTGGACTGTCTCATGTTTGTTCTCTCTCTGATAGGTATGAGCCTCAGACTGACATTCCTTCTGATGTTGACACTGAACAAGACCGAGTTTTCTTCATTAAGGCAATTGCTCAGTTCATGGTTAGTTCACAGTTATTTTGTGGAGTTGTGAAATTAAATAATTTAGAAAGGGGTAAATCCTAGTTAGGGCTGCTTTCGAATCAAGTAATTGAGTTTACTTTCTAGAACCATCCCATTGCCAGGTTTCTGTGGAACCATTTCACCAGCAAAGTTTTTTACTGGGAGGTTAGTGGTTAACTCATTATTTATCAAGAATTTTGTTTATTTTTAATGGGTAATATGTTTTATTATTTAAATCATGAAATGATAGAGTAAATGACTTCCTACCCTGTCTACTCAGTCCATTTCCACTACCCATAACTACTATTGTAAATTTCTCCCAGTTTCTTTCTGTATATTTAAGCAAATACGAATATGTATTTTTTTCCCTTCCTTTCACATAAATGGTAGCATGCAGTATTTTGGAGAACTTTCCAAATATACATAGAAAGAACGTCCCCATTCTCTCTTAAACTTGAGTTTGCTTGCAAAGGTATTCCACAATTTATGTAAAATGTAGGTATTTCGATAGTTTCCAACTTTTGTTCTTTGAAACAGTGTTGTAATGAATAATCCTTCCATATCGTGTGTGTGTGTGTGTGTGTGTGTGTGTCCCTCGAATAAGTTCTTAAGATTGGAACTTCTGGGTCAAAAGATACATGAGTTTGTAATGTTGGTGTGTTTTAACTAATTGCTGTTCATCAAGGTACAGATCATTTAAATGTTTTACCCTTAATTAATGTGTTGTATCTCAATTGTTGGCGGAGACGTTTTCAAATTAACTACATGGGATTTGGTTTAGACATTATGTGGAAAAGACCTTAAACTTTGTGTTGTATCTTAAAACAGGCCACAAAAGCGCATATAAAACTTAATACTAAGAAACTTTACCAAGCTGATGGGTATGCAGTGAAAGAGCTGTTGAAGATCACGTCTGTCCTTTACAATGCTATGAAGACCAAAGGAATGGAGGGCTCCAAAGTAGGGGAGGAGGATATCGGCAAATTCAAGTTTGATCTCAGCTCCAAGGTAAGGAGTGTTTATTTCTCAAACTTGGAAATGGATTGTCTGTCACAGCACTGCTTCTTCCCCTGCTCCACTGAGGATGCCTTGTTAGTTGGTGTTGACAATTTTGTACTCATCAGTGTTGGGATGGAAGCAAAGTCACAATAAATTAATTCAACTATTTATTGAAATCCTGGTATTTTCTAGGTAGTATTCAAGCACTGTGGATACAAGTGTGAACAAAAAGGACAGAAATCCTGTGTTTCTGTTGCTTAGTTGGAGTCAGACTGTGAAGACAAAGATAAAGTTGTGGAAGATCCAGTGCAGTCAGGGCACTGAAGGATAACAGACATGATACGGATGGAGATCATGAAGGGAGGCTGAGATCTTAAATAGATGAGCATGAAGGCCTCCTGGAGCGGATGGCTTGTCAGCAGAGATCTGAGGGAGGGAAGGAGCAGCCCATGCAGATGGGCTCATCTCATCCCAAGATGAGAGTGTTCTTTGTGTGTTTGAGGAATAGTGAGGAGGCTGTGGGGTGAGAGCCTCCAGGAGGGGAAAAGTGACAGTCCCTCTGGCTCTTGGAAAGCCTTTGATTTTTACTCTGAGGTGTGAAGGATGAAATTTTGAGCAGAAATAGACATGCTTTGAGTTTCCCTATTAGAAGGATCACTTTGTAGCTGGAGGTGAGGCTCAAGTGGTAGAGTGCTTACCTAATATGCACAAGGCCTTCAATTCAAACTTCATACAGCCAGGAAAAAAAAAAAAAAAACCTTTAAAAAGGATCACTCCGGCCAGACATGGTGGCAGGCACCTGTAGTCTCAGCTACTTGGGAGGCTGAGGCCAAAGATTCGCTTGAACATTGGAGTTCAAGGCTAGCCTGGGTAACATAGTAAGGGGCAGGGGGAGCTTGGGCTGTAGTGTAGTGGTGGACTCACGCTTAGCATGTGCAAGGCCCTGAATTAAATCCCCAGCAACTAAAACAACAAAAAGGATTACTCTGATTATTGGGTTGCCATCAGACTGAAATGGAGAGCAGAGTGGAAACAGTGAGACCAGTTAGCAAATGATGTCAGGGACTTTGAGAAGAGTGGTAGTAGGGGAAGTAGATGTCAGGAGCTGGACTGAGTGCCAGGTGTTTGAGGAGTTGACTAAAGCAACAAGCCAAAGTGAAAGGTGACCCTGTAGTTACCATGGTGGTATAAGTAAGACTCTAAAACCAGAGGAAACACAAGCTGCCCCTGTTCCATTTTCCCTCATGGAATGGGGCACCTACCAGTCTAGCGCCACAGTCTCCAACAAAAGGCTTCAGCAGTTTTACGGATCCTGAGGTGGTGAGAGAAGGGCCAGGACTGGAAAAACACTGGGTACTGAGTCAGGGTGGGGAAGGTGTCTTAAGGACTCCTCCATTCCCTCATAAAGAGGCCTCAGCAGAGGCACCTGAAGAGGACCTCGGCCCAAGCAATGAAGGAGAACTAGCAATGAAGCCATTCAGGCTAGGAACATACGCAGAGCACTGCAAGCCAGGGGTCTTCATCAGAGCTCCCTTCAGAGACCACAATGCAGTGGCTGTGTCCCCTAAGTCTGCAGCCAGGCAGCTCTTCTCTATGGGCCTATCAGGGAGACCTTGTAATCGCCATGGTCCTTTAATTAGAAGCTAGAATCAGTGCAGGTCTGAACATATTTTGAAGGTAGATGGGAGAGATATTATGAGGAAGAGCCTGAAGTAGTGTGGTACTGTGAAATTTGCTGTGTGAATGGGCAAAGTTCTTATCTGGGCTGTGTTCTGCCAGAGCCACTGGCCAAAATGGCTAGCACAACTAAGAAACTGAGCTCTAAGTTTAATTTTTAAGCAATTCAAGTGTGAAAATGGTCAGTGTGGCCAGTGGTTATAGCATTAGACCTCACAGTTCTATGAAGTTTTTGGTCTGACCGGTGGAATGGTGAAGTGACTATTACTGAAGTAGAGGAGTCTGGAGAGGCATCGATTCGGCAAGGAAGATTAGGAGTTTGACTCTGGACATGTTACGTTTGCAAGGCCTGTTGGATGTCCAGGTGGAGATGCTGAGAAGGTAGTTGGTATGTGAGGCTGGATGGAGCTGGGGGCGGGGCATCAGCACGTAGATGGGATTAGAGCCATGGGGGGTTACGAGGAGTGCCCTAAGGAAATATCCAGTGTTGTCTGTAACACTGGAGAAGCAGGAAAGATGTGGAGAATCCTGCTAAGAAAGTTGAGGACTTTCTACCAGTCAGGTAGGAAAAGCAGCTAGAGCTGGAGGGGGTGGCACCCTGGGGCTGAGGAGAACCAGGAGCCGCACTCCTGAGGACCAGCAAAGTGGAAAGAAGTTAGTTGAGAGTGAAGAGGGAGAGTTGTTTCCAGTGAGTTGAAAATAAAAGAGAGAACCTGGGTATTAGCTTTTGAGAGTGAGCAAACAGGCAGGTGTTTGCTTGGGCTCTGGGAAGTTTGGCATATTCATGAAAGAGGGGGACATGCACAACCTAAGAAAGGAGCCTCAATGCTAAGTTGTTATAGGGCCATTGGCACCATCCTCCTGGCTATAGCTCCTGTGGGAGCCTGGGCTGTTTTAAGTACTCATGGATGTTACCTCACCTGAGCCTCATATCAGCCCTGCTGGGGAAAACTTAAGAGAATGAGGGGATGCATCCCTCAGCTCATTTTCTCCTTTGGTCACCCCTCTACTGTTGGGGATACAACAGAAAGTATGTCAGCTTTCTCTTGCCTCCTACAGCTCCTGCCTGCAGATTGGGTTTGACTTGACATTTGGAGAGACCAGGTCTCCTGAAATCAGTCCCATTTGTACTTAAGTCAGTGTTTCCTAAGCAGCTCCAGGGAACTCTGTCCTGAAGCTCTTAAGTGTGGGTTTGTGAGCTACATGTTCTGTATTACATACCTCCCTGAACGTAGCCATTGATAGTAACAGACTGGCTGCTAAGTGCCTATGAAAAACTGACGTTCCTGTTTTTGCTATTCCTTTCAGATTGCAGATTTGAAAGCAGCCAGGCAGCTCGCTTCTGAAATTACCGCCAAAGGAGCAACTCTGTATGACTTGCTGGGGAAAGAGGTCGAGTTGAGGGTAAGCAATGTTGAGATAAGGAATGCAGATTTTCTCTTCCAGGTGTTCTTTTTCAATGCTGTTTCTTGGTTTTTTAGGTCTTCCAATTTTACTGAACTGTACCTGATTGAATGAGATGATGTGTGGGAAAGTGATACAGAATGTTAGCTGCTGTTCCTACTCCTAGTGGACACTGGTCCACTGGTTTTAATACCTTTAGGAATGGTAAATCTGTGGCACATGGCGAGACTATCCTCGCTGAGCCTGTTGCATACCTTCTTGATCATGATGCTCTCTTTGTGAACTCAGCCTCAGCATTCTTCTCTACAATGCTCAGTTCAGCCTGAGGCTCCCAGACCTTGCTGCCCAATGGGCTTACCTGGGGATCTTTAAAATCTGAAGCCAGCTTTTATTCTGATGTCACTGTTGTGGAATGGAACCAGGGCACTGGGAGTTTCCAAAGTCTCCCGGGTAATTTTAATGTGTGGCAGTTTGGGATTAGCAATCTAGGCACAGGAGTTGATGTTACTGCTGAAACTTATTTGCCATCCTTTTTCCATCCAGTGCCAATCAAGGACTGTGTACCATTCACTGCATTTAAAGCAGCTGTTTAAGAGTGTGGTTCCAGCTGGGCATGTTGATGCATGCCTGTTAATCCCAGTACTCGGGAGACTGAGGCAAGGAGGATCTGAAGTTCGGGGTGCTCCACAGAATAAGGGAAGCACATGATAGAGTTTGTAAGGTGCTCCAGGAACCATGTCTCCTGTCTTTTCGGAGTACCAAAGAAAAGTATCATAAACTTCGTAGTATGGAAACAATAGAATCTATTTCTCACAGTTCTGGAGGCTGGGAAGTCGGAGACCAAAGTGCTGGCAGACTCCCCAGGGTTTAACATTCCAGATTTCTGTGCCAAAGTTTTTATTTGGAAGCCCCTCAGCTCTTCTCTTTGTTGATAAACAAAGACTTTATTATCATCCTTCTAAGTTCTTGAACCTTAGGTATAAAGGTCTTCCCTCATTTTCCCTACCATCCCTATTGGGAATTTCAAGTTCTATAAATATTTTTTGCCATCCTTTTTCCATCCAGTGCCAATCAAGGACTGTGTACCATTCACTGCATTTAAAGTAGCTGTTTAAGAGTGTGGTTCCAGCTGGGCATGTTGATGCATGCCTGTTAATCCCAGTACTCGGGAGACTGAGGCAGGAGGATCTGAAGTTCGGGGTGCTCCACAGAATAAGGGAAGCACATGATAGAGTTTGTAAGGTGCTCCAGGAACCATGTCTCTGTCTTTTCGGAGTACCACAATGAAGTATCATAAACTTGGTAGTATGGAAACAATAGAAATCTATTTCTCACAGTTCTGGAGGCTGGGAAGTCGGAGACCAAAGTGCTGGCAGACTCCCCAGGGTTTAACATTCCAGATTTCTGTGCCAAAGTTTTTATTTGGAAGCCCCTCAGCTCTTCTCTTTGTTGATAAACAAAGACTTTATTATCATCCTTCTAAGTTCTTGAAACCTTAGGTATAAAGGTCTTCCCTCATTTTCCCTACACATCCCTATTTGGGAATTTCAAGTTCTATATATTTTTATAGTTGCTTGAAGTTAAGAGTTCCTGCTTTTCAGGAAAATGTCCCCAAATTGTTCATCCATGGGAAAAAAACAATGATGAAGTGGCTCAAGTGGTAGAGCATCTGCCTAGCAAACATGAGGCCCTGAGTTCAAATCCCAGTACCAAAAAAAAAAAGACAAGAATATTGTTCTTCAGATTACTATTACTCTTTCTTTTTTTTTTTTTTTTTGGTGGCACTGGGTGGGATTGAATTTGGGGCTTCACACTTGCAAGGCAGGCACTCATGCTTGAGCCATTCCACCAGCCCTATTCTTCAGATTAGTAATATGAGTAAAAGGCTTTACTTCGTCATCAGTGAGTTGTTTCACCTTTTTGTTTTTCTGAAAAGGGAATTGATCATAGAAGAGAATCAAAGTTCTTTTTTGTTGTTTTTGGGTTTTTTTTATTGGAGCTTCTTTCTTGTTGTTTCACAGCAGTCCATCTCCTTATTTCCCCGCCATTTGGAGCCATTAGGAAGATGCCTAGGTTGTAACCTTCAACGTGGGACTCTTGTGTCTACTGTTTTATTTTCTTGAGTTCTCAAAGACCCATGACCAGAAAGAACATATATAATCATATATATTTATATTATATAAATTACATATATTTAAAGTTGCCTGTTTCTAATTATATCAGTTTTCACACTGTTGTCTAACTATATTTAGTATTTAGAATTCCTTCCTAAACTTTTCTTTTTTTGGCCATGCTGGGGCTTGAACTCAGACCTACACATTCAGCCACTCCACCAACTCTTTTTTTGAGTTGGATATTTTCGAGATAGGGTCTTGTGAACTATTTTCTCTATTTGGCTTTGAACTTCAGTCTTCCTGATTCTGCCTCCTGAGTAGCTGGGGTTGATTACAGGCTTGAGCCCCAGTTCCCAGCCTCCTTCCTAATTCTTTTTGAGCAGCCATTGCCAATATTTTCTCAATTCCTCCCTGGATTCCTGTGGATCTCATCTGACAAGGAAATGTAGCTATTTTGTTCACCCTCTCTCCATTCTAGACCATCTACATAAGTGTTCTAACTCATCTCTGATGGTCTCAGAGATACATAGACTATTATATCAGACTCACTAGTTATTCATACGTAGTTTTTAGGTAGAGTTGGTCCTATTAAGAGACTCTGGATCACCTTTGTTATTGTTTTGTTTTCTTTGTTGTCTTTATTTTTGTTTTCTTGCCTTTATTATCTTGAAAGTGGGTTCCTTCCCCAAGGTTCTTAGTTCTTTGAAAACAGTGCCTTCAGCTGAAAATATTATCGAGACTAATCAATTAAGGGGCACTGTTTAGAAAATTGAAAGTAATTGCAAACTACATTGGATAATTGTGACTTTCAGCTGTTTTGAACCAGTTGAATTTTTGTGTTCTTTTCTCTGTCTCTGTTGGTTCTACTTTTCTTCAATAAGATTTTTATTTAAAAAAGAAGAAAAATGTGCTGGCAGATTCAGTGTCTATGAGGGCATTCCTCATAGACTGTGCTGCACCGTGTCCTTGCATGGCAGGAGGGTGATGGAGTTCTCTGGGGTCTCTTGTAAGGGTACTAATCCCATTTGTGATGGCACCACCTTTACGATCTGATTACCTACCAAGACTTCATTCCTTAATACCATTCCATTGTGGGTTAGGATTCCAAGCAGACATTCAGTTTATAACTAACCTCGTAACTGCTTCCACATTAAAATCCCATGTCTCAGAAGTTTCCAGTACTATTATGATGGTCACAAATGCCTCCTCAATTGGTTTATGGCTAATGCTAGGGGCAGGGCAAAGGTGACTGTTCTCACTGGTGCTTGTCATTGATAGACAACTTAGAAGGACTTAATTGTAAAAGGATCATAGAGGCTCATGGGGATTCAGACAGCAAGTTGTGCTGTGCTTAGTCTGTGGGCCACCTGAATAGAATGCAGGTCAAGAAGCAGGTTTGGGAGGAAAGGTTTGCTCATGGAGTTAAGGGCATAAGGAGCTTTTAGTTGAAAAGGAGGACCCTGAGGAGTTTTGGTTTTTTTTCCTCTGAAGACACCTGTAGGAAGTGATAGTGGAGGTGTGTTTTTGCATCATAGATCACATTGTAGTGAAACCTTGGTTTTTGGTTTTTGTTGATGGTGTCAGAGATTGAACCCAGGCCTGCAACATGCTAAGCACATGCCTCTCTATCACTGAGCTGTACTCGCAGCCCCTGTAATAAAGCTTTGGAGAATTAGTCTGTAAGCCATTTCTAGATCTCGGAACACTGGTTTTTGAAAACTTATTTTCTAGCTGGGCATGGTGGTGCACATCAGTAATCCCTGGGGAGGTGGAGGAAGGAGAATCACAAGTTTGAGGCCAGCCTGGGCAAAGTTAGCAAGACACTATCTCAGAAGCAAAATAAAGGCTGGGGGGTGTGGCTAGAGTGGTAGAGCAAGCACAAGTACCGTGAACTCCAGTACCACAAAAAAAGAAAGAAACTCCTTTCCTGAGCCAGGCCTGATAGAGAGGATTTCAAGTTCAAGCCTGGCCTGGGCAACATAACGATATTCCCCATCTCAAGAGAAAAAAAAAAAAGTTTGCCACCCAGTGGGGAAGAAAAGGAAACTCCATTTCTGGAAATAAGTGTAAATTATTTTATTGTTTCCCCTAGGAACTGAGAACAGAAGCCATTGCCAGACCTCTGGAAATAAATGAGACCGAAAAAGTGATGAGAGTTGCAATAAAGGAGATTTTGGTAAGATTATGTAGCTTTTATTGAATGTTTTTGTGCCTGGGACTCAAAAGTACAGTTTCCTGCCTGTATAAGACCAGATGAGGCCTGGTGATGAGGGATGGTTCAAGGGGATTCGGAGGGTGTTCTGGGGTGCCCAGGCCACTGATCCCATTGTCTCCCTCACAAATAAGAGCCGTTTGTCGTGCTGTTAAAAATTCACCATTTTTAATTTGACAATTTTTAATACTTCAGTAGCTTTACTGAGTACTGCTCTATTTTACTTAAATAATTTCTTATTGATGGGAATTTAAATAACTTCCAGGTTTTCTTTCTTTTATTTTATTCAGTAGATGCAGCAAAGGGGCCACATCCAAATTAGGAATAGGCATAAAACAAGGCCGCTGTGATTCGTGCAAAATCCTCAGAATCACACGCTCTTTCCTTCTTACTGTCTTTTCCTTTCTTTACTTTATTGTCTGTCTTTCCTTCCTTCCCTCCCTCCCTTGTCACTAAAAAGTAATATTCTCTGTTTGGCACAATGCGGAGGGTACAAGCCTCCCCCGGGGAGAAGGGCATGGCACCAGGCACAGACAGCTGGATCAGATAAATAAACATATTACCAGAGCCAGGTTCTTCACCTTTGGAGAAGAGTTACAAATATAGAAAGAAAATTACAGTGAGCCCTGAAATTGGAGGTATTAGTTAAATGTGTGGTTTTAAATATAGATAGAGGAATAAATTCTGGTATACACATATGTATGTCTGTATAGGGAATGTGTACGTATGTTTGTAGATGTATCATATATGCCTATGTAAGCACACCCACTTGTATACGTCTGGGCTCTGAGCAGACCTAGCAGCAGCAGGATCTTGACTTCTAAATCCCATTCCCCACTATGGGAAGCAGGGCTCTCAGGAAAAATGACTGATTCCAGAGCTGGGCAGAAGTACCAGCTATTATGTGTCAGAAAGTAGGGAAGTGCTCAAAGGATGAAAGGGGTCTGATAAAGGGACACAGAGCCAGCTTCCCCTGACCAAATGAAGAATGGCTTAAGCATCACAATAAATAAGTTATAGTAGTTTATAGTATAGTTGAATGAAATAGGAAACCATGAGTTGTCACAGACAAAAAATAAATGTTTCGGAGCTACCGGCTTCTGAGCTCCACTATTCTCTAGCTGTAGCCTTCCCCTTTCTCTCTGATAAATCCCACTTCTTACACTGAAAATAAATTAATTAATTAAAAAAAATAAATGTTTCAAAGTAGCTCCCAACAAAATCCTTAATAATTTCAAAAGGGAAAATAGTACGTCCTTATGGAGAAGTCTGGTCTCACCCCTGAATTAATCTCAGTGAACATCTCTCTAATGAAACAAATTGAAATGGTCACACCTGGTCGGATGCAATCCTTTCTGTGACATTCCTGCCATTGATACATAATTATCTGAGTGAAAGCCAGACTGAGGTGTGTTCTGTAAATTAGTTGACCAGTACTCCTCATAAGTGAGAAGCACATGAAAGTTGAGGAAAGCTGAGGAGGTCACAGACATGACAGCTGAGTGCCACAGTGGCTTCTCTGTGCTGTGGAGGGCCTCCCCGGGACAAGTGGGCAGTCAGGAATGGGCCTGAGGGTCGGATGGTGGCTGTGCCCAGCACTCATGTCCCGTTGTGATGGTTGCCATGTGCTTATACAGAGAATCCCCTTGTTGTAGGAAATGTGGGTACTGGGGCATCTGGCCAGCCATGTGCTCTCACCTAGGTCTTGGGAAAGTGCCTGTGTTATACTCCAGTTTTCCTGTAGCTTTGTGTTTTCTAAATTTAAAAAATTTTAAACAGTTATACCGTCATTGGTACCAGTGTTCTGACTGAATCAAGTGAGCATGGCCTGGATGTGCCTTTAGCAGTATATACGAAAAGGGCACAGTGAGTTTCTCATTGTTAGAAAATATTTATGATAGCTAAATATTCTAAAAAAATTAAAATAGCAATGTGGGTACTTTAAAGGGGGTATGAAATACAGGCCAGTTACATAAAAAAATAAATAAAACAGGAAAATTGTGTCTACACTTTGATCTTTTTTATTTGAGGAATGAATACCTTTAAAAATAGTTTTTGGGTTTTTGGGGCTGGACATGGTAGTGCACACCTATAATTCCACCTACTCATAAGGTGGAGGTAGAAGGATTGTGATTTGAGGCTGGCCTGGTCAAAAGTGTGAGATGATACCTGAAAAATAAATCCAAGCTGACTGGGGGCAAGGCTCAATTGAAGATCGCTTGCATAGCAAGCATGAGGCCCTAAGTTCAAACCCCAGTACCACCAAAATGAAATCGTTTTTATTTTTAAGGTAAAATAATTCCCTAGGCTCTAATCAGACTTTCATTGAGAGAATAGTCATTCCCAGTGTGGGCTGTTTAGAGAGGATCATCTTCCTTCCTGTTGGAGTGAACCATGTCTACTGGGTTTCTAAAGCACTTGCAGCAAATCAGTGGTTACTGATGTGATTTTAATGAAAGTGTCTTAGAAATGGTTAATGCATTGGGCTGAGATGTGACTCAGTGGTAGAGTATTTGCCGAGCATGTTTGAGCATGCCAAAAAAAAGTTTTCACAGAAATGGTTAGTGTACTTACATCAAAAAAGTTAAACCATAAATTTATTGACAATAACGGTGTTTGCTTCCAAAAATGCACTATCTCTGAGAATCTTGGAGAGATTTGGGCTTCCAAGATCATTTCTCTGTAGACCTTATAACTTTACAGAAAAACCTTTATGGGAGGGCTGAGGAATGACTGGCTCAAGCAGTATAAGACCTTGAGCTCAAACCCCAGGACTGCCCTCCCCAAAACAATACCAACCACAACAAAAAAAATCCAAATAAAGAAACAAACCATTATGGGGCACCAACATGTACAGAGTACTGGAAGGGACCCCCTCAGCCTCCTGGAGCCTCACGCAGGCTGGACAGTCAGAATGTGGGCAATGGTTCATGTGCACCTGGGTTGTATACCAGATTTGGAGTGCAGCTCGTTGGTGTTCTGAGCCACAAGGCACCCAACCTGGCCAGTTTCCCAGACAACACGAGTGGGAAGATTATGCATTACTCTCACTGTGCCTGCTTCAAGCAAACTTACTCTTTCCAGAAGATAGGGAGGTCTGTGGCTATCACCAGTGGTCTCTGACACCCCTTCCCCCCTTTACTCATCCTAGCTGCTTGAGCCTCTGTCCCACTGAGCACAGGTTCCTTTTCCAAAGTTGGAGAATACCAGCATGGCCAGTGCTACCATGGGAGTCATTTCTGTGTTGACTACACCAATAAAGCAGTTCTCTGTTTATTTTTAGTCTGTATTTAAGCTTTTGCCAGCAAGAAGGAAGAAAAACCTCTTTCAATCCCAGCAGGCAGTGGGTTAGGACGAAAGCCGGCTCATGTTTCTTTTCATCTCCTCCTGAATAGAGCCATACTTGTGTGTGCCTATGTTCCAGGAGCAGTTATTTGTAACCAGAGGAACAGTCAGGAGGAGAGTGTGAAGGTGACGATAGTGCAGAGTGAAGGTGCACAGTTGTAATCGAACAGGCCGGGCAGAAGGGCCCAGGCCTCCCGTCGTCTTGGTTAGGGCCACTTCTTTCCATCTTTCTGCTTCCCTGGGCAGAAGACCAATTTTTCATGACAATAGTAGTTTTTTCTGGATCTGTGTGCCATTCCCCTGGAAATGGTTGGTTCAATGAGTCGTTGCTTGAGGGGAGGGCTGTGTTACTTGCTTTTATGTTTGTTTACTGTGATGCCACTGTGCAGGAAGAATTGGGACATTAGTGTCCTCAGTGGATCAGGATGATGTCCTCACTGTGCATCGCCTCCTTATTTTCTATTAAATGTAGGCACAGGTTCAGAAGACGAAGGACCTGCTCAATAATGTGGCCTCTGATGAAGCTAACTTAGAAGCCAAAATTGAAAAGAGAAAAGTAGACCTGGAAAGAAATCGGAAGCGACTCCAGACTCTGCAGAGTGTCAGGTAGATGTGAACACTGAGTGAGCAGAAATAGTAGCAGGGTGTCTTTGAAAGCTAAAGCAATACTGACTGACTGAAACAATGTAAGTGCTATTAACTTTTTTGTTGCATTTTTTGTTGTTTTTGCTCACTGGAGTCTACCATTGAGCCACAACTCCCGCCCTGGTATTGACTTTTGTTTTCTGGTGGCACTGAAGTAGGCAGGTGCCCCACTGCTTGTGGTATTAACTCTGGAAGGGCACTATCAAGCTGCCACACCCATTCTTTTTTACTGCTTTCAACGTGTCTGCAAAATGACTTTATTCCTGACTCCTTTAAGTGCTCATGGCTTCTTGTAATGCTGAGCAAAGTAAGTCAATCCAGATGGTGGAAGTTAAGATCGTGACATGAATTAGGTGGACTAAGCATGCTCCCATCTCTTGATTTGAGTGGAATTTGGACTTTTAGACTCTGATGATTCCTCATCTTTCTTCTGACTCCACATCATTGGAGTAGAGAAGGATTACAGTGGTGCCAGATTGCAGCTGTATCAATGTAACGTGTTAAGTTTGACCCTCATGTTTTCTTGGTGCTTTCTCTCATTTCTTTTCTTTACTTGTTCTGGGCCTTCTTTCCTCACTGGTTTTTGGTTTTTCCTTCCCCAGTGTGGGGAAGCAGCACTTGGCAGATAGCAGGTACCACGACCAGCAAGTTATTCATTCTGATTATTCCCAGATCTTTTTAATAGAAACATTTCTATTAATACATTTATTTGTTCTAATGTAAAAGATTAATTATCTCTAGCTTATGTGTATATGTGTATATCTACATGTATATACATATATATGGGTTTTGTGTGTGTGTGTGTGTGCGTGCTTTTTTTTTTTTTTTTAAGACTGGGTCTCACTATGTTGACCAGGTTGGTCTCAAATTCTTGGGCTCAAGCAATCCTCCAGAGGAGCTGGAACTATAGGCATGAATCACTGTACCCAGCCAGGTTATATTTTTGTGTTTTTTTTTAATTTATTTATTTTTATTATTGATTTATTTCCTTATTTTTGTGGTGCTGGAGTTTAACTTAGGGCCTCACACTTGCTAGGCAGGCACTTCGCTGCTTGAGCCACACCTCAAGTCCTATTTTTTAAAAAGCAGAATTTTTCCCTTGGGATCAATACTAAGAGAAAAAAGAAAATAAAGTTCAGCCAACCAATTGAAACAGGTTTTATGTTATGGTTATTTTTTTTTTTTTATATTGTTTAAAAACAGCTTTCATTGCAGTAGGATGTGTTTCCCTTTTTAGGTTATTAATTAATTTTCTTGCACATCCAGGGTAGAACATTTTACCAGCTAAGATAAGGCATATATTTAATTTTATTGAGTTTGAAAAATGTTACAGTATTTGATTATTTTTAACTCTATTGAAAGCTGTGGTATACAGAAGTAAAAAAACCTACAAAACTTATTTTTATGACAATATATTTAATTTTTAATGAAAGTCACATTCCTATCTGTTTGCTTAGAAAAGTCTGGAAGGATATATATCCTATATAGTTGATGATGGGATTATGAGTAATTTTTTTATATCATTCTTCATACTTGCAGGATTATTTCAAGGTGTTTTTTGTTTGTTTTGTTTTGTTTTGTTTGGTAGGACTAGGGTTTGAATTCATGGCTTTACCCTTGCAAAGCAGGCACTCTACTGCTTGAGCCACATCTCCAGTCTATTTTGCTCTGGTTATTTTGGAGATGGAGTCTTGCAAACTGTTTGTCTGGGCTGGCCTTGAACCTCGGTCCTTCTGATCTCAGCCTCCCAAGTAGCTAGGATGACAGGTGTGAGCCACCTGCATCCAGCTAGTTCAAATGTTTACAAAGAACACATGTATGATTAATAAGGAAGTATGTCCATTTGGGGCTATGGAGGAGCAAAGGCAAATTAGTTTTGGGCAGTTATCAATGTGAAAGTCCTTTTGTAATTAAAGGTTTTCAAAGAAAGCCATGATGGAGTCTGGATCTTGAATGTAAATTTCAAACACTGCATATTGATGTACCTTTCACTTTCTATTCCACTTTCTCACTTTAGGCCTGCCTTTATGGATGAGTATGAGAAGATTGAGGAAGAGTTGCAAAAGCATTATGACATTTATCTAGAGAAGTTTCGAAATTTAGCTTATCTGGAACAGCAACTTGAGGATCATCATAGGATGGAGCAGGAGAGGTTTGAAGTGAGTCCTCGGCCTGGTCTCCTGTGCAGACTATTTCTTCTGGTGTATTATTTTATACTTGGTGCCATGTCAGTTTATAAATATCATTGCAAAAAAATACCAGTCTGAGGACTGCTCACATGATTCTTGTTTTGCTGGCGGCACAGCCTGTCAGACACGTGACCTGAGCCATCACACATCACTGCTCTAGAAGGGCCTGTGCTGCTGCTATCTTGAAATGTAATAATTTTCAGGTGCATTTTATTTTTGCACTGATCCCCACAAATTATGCAGCTGGTCTTGAGTACAGATCTAAAAATTTGCTTTGTTAGTTTGCTTAAAGATTTCCAAGCCCTGGTTAATTGAATTGCACAAATTAGCTTATTGGAGACTTTTTGTCTCCAGGAGAAATGACAGTTTATTGATTAATTGTGGGCAACATGTGTGAACCAGAACATGACCAGTTGTCTTAGGAAAGAGTAGTTCAGACACCAGCACTAGTTAATAAATACAGAATTCAGAGCAAAGGAAACTGGACCACATTCTATCACTCTTAGGTGCTCTTCCCTTAGGAACAGCTCTGAGAACAGTGATTTAGAATCTAGCTCATGGTGAAATTGGTGTTCAGTCTCCCTTTCTCACACTGCTCTTGATGACTTTGGTATTAAGGGTGGGCTAACAGTCTTACAAACCTGCATGAGTGAATTAGATAAAGCAATTTTGTTGTCCAGAAGGGCTGACTGGAAGTAACTCTCATTCATATGGACTCAGTAACTCATTGCCACCATTACCCTGTGGCAGAGAGGCAGCCATTGAGGAGTGGGATGCAGTACATGTGCATCCTGAGGGGAGTGGCAAGAGCCTGGAGTTAGGACACTTCAGACCCAGGCTTCTGGGAAAGGACAGCAAGGTCCAGTGAAGATCAGTTTTGACCATTTTGTTGTATCCCAGGGCCACCCCCGGATTCAAAAAACTGAAGAAAGTGCCTTAGAATGACAAGTAGGCAGCCCGGGTTACTCTGAGGCACCTTCACCCCATGCCTGTTTCTTTATGATAGTGCAGTGCTTTCTTTTTTTAATGTTCAGAGCATCAACAAAAATCTAAAGACCAATTTCCTCCTCTCACATTCTCTTGATAACAAGTAGGGGTCTCTCTCTCTCTCTCTCTCTCTCTCTCTCTCTCTCTCTCTCTCTCTCTCTCTATATATATGTTTTTTCTTTTCTTTTTTAACCCCTGAAACCGGGTTTTGCTATGTTGCCCAGGCTGACCTCACAGGTGTGGATGATGTGTCTTAGGGCCACACGGATAACTCAACTGAAGTGTTACCTGCCTCTCTCCAGAAAGTAAAACTTAAGAGTTGATTTTCTCTCTTCCCATCCTGACCTGACCATTAGCATCTTTTAAGATTGGAGTGGTAAAGGCAGTACAGCCAGAAAAATGACAACATCCTGCTTCTTTTAGGAGCAGGAGGCCTCTGCTTGTCCATAGGTGGATGCCTTTGCACCCATGCTGTCAGCCCATGCAGGCACATGTGACAGGCTTCACCTGTGTCACTCAGTTCTTTCAGAGTTGGTAGGGTGGTGGAAGGAGTAAGGGCATGGGGCCAGGTCATCACTTTGGGGTTGTTTCCACAGGGCTGCTGGTGATACAGAGGAAGGGCACAGATTTGGGTACTGTAAGGATTGCTCAGGCAAACTAAGCTCATTTTCAGGTCTGTGTCACAGACATTGCAGTACTTACATAATGGTAAAGAAGAACAGTGATGCATCCACCAAAGTGCATCACTTCTGAATATCTTTTTCCTCTTCCTTAGGAAGCTGAAAATACTCTCCGTCTGATGCAGAACAAGCTAAAGGAAGAGGAGAAGCGGCTGCTCAAGAGTGGAAGTGAGGCTGCATTTATTCTCGATTAGTGTTCTCAGGCTTGATAAGTTTACATATGTATTTTAAAATACCTATTTTCTTTAAAACATTTTTTAACCTGGGTATGGTGGTGCATGCTTGTAATCTCATGTCTCGGGAGGTGGTGGCAGGAGAATTGTGAGTTGGAGGTCATCCTGGGGTACATGGTGAATTTAAGGCCAGCCTGTCAGTATCTTTTATGATGGTAAGAAGAATTAGGTGAGATCTGCCCCCTCTAAACTTTTTAATGTGTTACAAACCCATTATTGTTCACAGTAGAGTACAAGAATATTTTCAGAAGACAATTTTCTCAACTTTTATGGTAGGTACCATTCGAGTTCACTCAAGAGACTTTAAATCACACAGCATTTAACACATACTTAGTTCTTGTGACAATTAAGATAGTATTTGCCCCTGTTTAAATGCTAAAGTTAATTTGAATTAGATAATATGAGTAATTATAAAAGAAAACTTGGTCCTAGAGGTTTGAAGGGTTTCATATTTTAGGGCAGACTGGGGAACAAGTGTTCAATGGAGGGCAAGTGAAGGAACTACTTGCTTGATGGCAGCCCCCTCCCCACTGCCATGGTATGTTCCCCATCAACCACAATTGCGAAGCAGTTCCCTATAGGAAATGGGCTACACACGAGGCCTGGATTCTGGAGTTGTCAGACTGAGAACTGGGCAAGTGAGCTAAAATCTTTGGGTTGTCATTGATGTGTTAAAATGAAGTCAGGCCACACACATGCTTATCACATGGGGCTGCTCCAGACTCTCCCTGCTGAACCGAAACTAAAATGGCAAGAGACTGCTTTGGCTAGAGAGGTTTTTGATTTTCTTAAACCTGTCCTAGAAGATTTCCAGCAGTTCCTATTCTTCCAGAGTTTCCTGAGAACAGATACAAAAGGAAAGAAACAGGAAGGTGGAAGGGAAGAAGAGCCCGATGCCCAGGTGCTCTGCCCTCCTACTGAGGGCTCTTCTTCCCTCCCACCTGCCTGTTTCTCTCCTTTGTATCTGTTCTCAGGATACTCTGGAAGGATAATAGGGACTTCTGGAAATCTCTGGCTCCCAGGCTTGCCCTCCTCTACTGCAGAGACTAGCTCTTCTCTCCATGGCTAAAGAAAGCAGAAAACCTTCCTTGGTACCCAGTTACCATGTCATTACACTGTCATAGCAGGAGAAAAGCAAAGCTTTTTGGTAAACCAACAGTTACTCTATTTCCAAACTAACTTCTGAGTGACCAATCAGATCAGCAACAGCAAACCCTCCAATTCCCTCCTTCCAAAACCTGTCTCACTCCCTGGGTATAGCGACGTCAGCGGTGGGCAGTGAGAGCTTTTTCTTCTCACTATGGAGACTCTCCTTCTGTAGGTTTCCTTTGGGAAGTGTTCAGCTTACAAGCAAAAGACTCGAAAGAAATGAAAATTAAATAATGTTCAGCAGTTGTCCTGAAATGACCTTTTAAAAGGGAGCTTTACTTCTACCTAGGATATATCTTTACAATAGAATCTTCTCCTGTGGAGAATATCATGTGCCCCACCTTTCATTGCTAGTCACACATCACGGTCTTTCTGGGACCAGCCCACTCTGCCATTCCTAGCCTGTCCTCCCACTTGCCTCCAGTCCTGCTTTGGTACCTTTTCAATGAGTTATGGTCAAGGAACTTGAGTTCTGGTAACACAGCCTAACAGAATAGAGAGTTTGCCCACCCCCATCCCCAATTCCTCCCCCCACCACCAAAGTTAACCAGGAATTTCCAGCTACCTTGACAGCTGACTACTCAATTTGAAATTCTTCACAGCCTATCAGAGTGTTTCTAACTAATCTATCTGTCCCACTTTTTTCTTGCTTTGGAAATTGCTTAAAACAAACATAGCACATTCTGGTCTGCATTAACACACTAAATGTCCACAAACAAATCTAGGAGTCTCATGAAATCTAATGCATCCAAAGAAAGACCAGGAAGGACAGATGGCTTTTGCATATGAGCCTTCGTAGGCAGAAGCTGTTTGGCTTAATGATGGAGCTGCTCTTTTTTTCTGTCTTCTTGTGTTCCCACCAGGTAATGATGACTCAGACATAGACATCCAGGAGGACGATGAATCGACAGTGAGTTGGAGAGCGGCGGTTGTCCAAGCCACGGACAGCCATGGAGGTGCTCATGCAAGGTGGCATTGCTTCTTTTGATTTCCTGCTCCCTATGCCTGTTTCACAGAGCACCATGGGCACCAGTGTGTTGGGGCTGCTTAGGGTTGAGGTCCACAGCAGACTATGAATGGAAACAGTTCTTGCCTTCTTAAGCTGCTCCCTGGCCATGACTGCCTCTAATACTCTCACCTGTGATCCTGAGACTAGCTGATTCGTGTTTGTGGACTGGAATTTCTCACAGAGACCATAGAAACATGTTGTGCTGCCTCTACCACTAAGCTCTATTCTGCCTGTTTTGGGTCCTAAATTGTTCCTAAAGAGTGCAGTTTACATCTCTTATGACCCAGGAATTAGATCACATGAGCATCTCTGCTTTTAAAAACATTTTTCTGGCCAGGTGTGGTGGCTCACATTTGTAATCCCAGCTACTTGGGAGGAGGAGATAGGGAGGATTATGGGTCAAGGTCAACCTGAGGAAAAGGTTAGCAGAGACTCCATCTCAATCAAGAAGCTGGTATGGTGGTGTGCGCCAATCATCTACAGGAGGAGTAAATAAGCTCGAAGTCCAGGCTGGCCTGCACAGAAACACGGGACCCTGTTCAAAAAGTAACTATAGCAAAAAGGGCTGGGGGCGTGACTCAAATGGTAGAGTTCCTGCCTAGCAAGTGCAAGGTCCTGAGTTCAAACCTCAGTACCGCAAAAAAAAAAAAATCCAAGCACTGAAATTTGTGATATAAATGTGGATGCCCCCTGGCTGGGGTTTTCCTCATATTCTGCTTCAATCCTAGAGGGGTCACAACTAATAACCACACATGCACACATAATCAAGCATCAGTACAAAGATCGCCTAAGTATTCTTTAAACTGTACCCAGGCTAACTTGGGTTTTTGTTTGTTTTGTTTTGTTTTTGGCACTTCTGTAATTTGAATACAGGGCTAAATGCTTGCTTGTAAGGCAGGCACTCTACCTCTTGAGTCACTCTGCCAGCACTTTTTTGAGTTGGGTATTTTCAAGATAGGGTCTTGTGAACTATTTTCCTGGACTGGCTTCAAACTGATCCTCCTGATCTGTGCCTCTGAGTAGCTAGGATTACAGGTGTGAGCCACCAGCACCTGGCTTGCCTTTGTTTTTAAAATTAAATATAACTCTCATCACGTCAGTAAACACACATCTGCTTTATTCTTTTTTAGAAACTTTTTTTTTTTTTTGGTGGTGGTACTGGTGTTTGAACTCAGGGTCTCACAGTTACTAGGCAGTGCTCTACCACTTGAGTCACTCTGCCAGCTGGCTTTATTATTTTTAATGGCTGCATTCTATTCTAGGCTGCCCATCTGCCTCAACCTCCCAAGTATTGAGATTATAGACAGTTTCATTTTTAAACCTACTAAATTTATACAAAAAGTAAAATCATCATCCTTTCGTCATTTTATATTGACCTTTTTTAAAATTACAATTTATTTGATAATGGGGAGTATCAGGGCCTTGTGCATCCTAGGCAAGCACTGTACCTCTTGAGCTGCACTTCTGTTTGTATTTTGTTTCTGAAATAGGGTCTCACTAACTTTGCTCAGACTCACTTCGAACTCACAATCCTCCTGCTTCTGCCTCCTAAGTAGCTTGGATCACAGGCATTCACTACCGTGCCCAGCTATATTAACTTTTATTGTTAACCATTTTGTCTTATTCTAGGCTCAGCTATCTTTACTTTGTTACATTTCACTTTTTTCCATAGGTAACTAGATGCTCTGGTTTCCCTTTTCTGTCCTTTTTCTTTCTTCTTCTTTTTTTTTTATTGGCTTCATGTAATCAATAGAGGCTGGCAGTATGATTCAGCAGATGGGAGCCAGAGATATGAAAGGTAGGCAAGTAACTAGGAAAGGCGGTGATTCTAAATTCTGGTAGCTATTCAGTTGCAGGGTAAAACCATATAGTCTGGTTCAAAAGTTGTAAGCAGGGCTTCAAACAGCACAAGACTTGGCATTCTGTCTAACCCAGGGAGAGTTTCTGTAAACAGCATTCCCTTGTCTCTCTGGGCCTCTTTTGAGCAGCTCCCCCTGCTCTCCAATGTGCCTTTCTCCTGGGCGTGGGGTCACACCAGTCCAATTTCAAGCCTTAGGATTGGGGTTCTGCTCTGTGCCCCTTATGAAGAGTAGTTCCTAAGTATTTGCAGGCCACACCTACACGATACTGACTTTAAAGGAAAATAATCTGTTAGATGCTGATGGTATTTGAAAGATGAACTGATTACTATTTGTGATACTTAAGCTCAGACTTAGATCCAAGTACAAGTGACATTGGTCTGTCAAAGGAGGATATATTTCTGTTTCAACAGATAGCCTCACAGTTCCACTGCATGTAAACTAATAATAGAATTCATTCAGTGATTTTCCCTCAAACACTTAGAAGATGCTTTTTTTTTTTTAAATTCATGATTCATGGTTGTTTGTGCTTTGTTTATGATGCTGGGGATTGAACCTAGGGCATTGAGTGTGTAGCCAAGTGCTCTATTACTTAGTTACACCCTAGCCCTCATTTTCTATTTTATTGCCTTTTTCCTTTTTTCAAAGTAGAAGCGCAGAGCTCAGCAGAGTGCAGAGCTGTAATCCTGGATTACTACATAGTGAGACTCTGTCTGAAAAACAAAATGCAAAAAATCCACTACTGTTTGTTGATAGTTATGTTGATTAGTTGGACACTACTTAAGTAAAATTTTTGCCGACTCTTTTTCTTCTCACCAATTTTCTAATGGAAAATGATTCCTGAATGTCATTTCCTGCCTTGTTTTCCACGGTTTTCATGGTTTCTTCATGCTTTTGTTGTTCTCAGGAAGACCCAGCAAACGCGTCGTGGGCACAATGCAAGGTGGAGACTCTGATGATGATGTAAGTTCAAACTAACTCCCCTCAGCACTCTGTGCCATATGATCTTGGGCTACCCTTGTAGACTAGATTAGCTCAGTTGTTGCCAGCAGCCTGGGAACTATCTGTTCCCAGTCATGCTTTGTTTATTCATGGCAGTTTGGCCTCCTCATGGCTGGATTCCTTTGCTCACTAATAGCTCATTTCTCATTTCACACCAGTATGCTTGCTGCACTTTTTTGCCTTCTCACTGTTCTTTCCATTCTCGCTTTCCAAAGATGGAAGCAGCACCAGCTCTCTTAGGTAAATGCAAGACTTCCAGCTCCAGGAAGCAGGTTGGTTTTCTTTTTGCCTCATCTCTTTGTTGACGTGTGTTGGCCTGCTCAGGGCCGGCAGATCCTCTCCCAGGGGCCATGATGCTTTCTCTCTGTTGGGCAAGAAGCCACTCATAATGCATTCCACTGTAAGAGACAGAATGGCCTCAAGTTCCCTATGCTAAGGAGGAGGGGTGAGCACTAGGCCAGAGATGAGAAAGGTCATTAGGCCCTTGAACTGTAATCTAGAAATGAATGGATAATGCTGAGGCCCAAGGCCCAAGACCAGTCCTGTCTTCAGCTCCTCCCTGGGAAAGGAGCATGGAAAAGATGCTCTGCCCAGACGAGGGCCTCAGAGGGGTTGGGCAGGAGGTTGAAAGGTCAGGCTGCCCAGATGAGGGTCTCAGAGGGACTGGACAGGAGGCTGATAGCTCAAGCTACCGGCACTTTGAGCTTTATTAGGTTGATAATGGACTAGGGAAGATGGGTGCAGAGGGAGGGGCTCTGTTTCTGTTTCCTGCTGTACTCCCCACAATCCATAACATGCCTGGCACATGACAGGACCTAACAGATGAATGTTGAGTGGTGAAGCAGACGTGCCCTGGGGGCTACACAGACACATCCTTGAAATTAACAAGTGCCAAGGCAAGGGAAGACCTGAGCCACAGCTGAAAAAGGAGGAGGAGGCAAGTTGGGGATGTACCACCTGTCATTCTGGGCCTTTTGGTCCATGTGGCAGAGGTGCCTGGACTGACACTGATCCCAGACCAGGTGTTGGGGGACAACCTGTGTCTAGGGCACGACACTGGTGGCTGCACGGAGACAGAGCAAAGCATTTGCTCTTTTGCAAAGATTCCCTTGCTAAGAACCACAGGGCAGAGTGTTACATCTGCTCAGGCATGCTGGGCAGGGTGCAGAGACCAGGCGCTGAACTCCCAAGTGAAAGGTATATAGGGGACAGGAAACCACCTTGACAACACCTTGTTTGCTTTTAGGGTAGGGTCAGTGAGGTACCTTCCATCCATTTATCCTGTCTACCTGAATCAGAAACAGGGATGTCTGGCCTGGAGCCAGTGGTACCTGGAAAGCAGAGTGTGGCCCCTGTTGCATTTGCTTGTGTACTTTTCAGCTGTGGCTCAGGTCTTCCTTTGCTTTGTTTATTTCAAGGATGTGTTCATGCAGTCCCAAGGACACATGTTTGCTTGGCCATTCAACGTTCATCTGTTAGGTCCTGCCATGTGCCAGGTGTGTTATGAATTATGGGGCATACAACAGGAAACAGAAACAGATCCCCTGCCTTTAGGACACACACATTCCAACCATGATAAGCAGATATATCTCTGTGATAGGTTAGGAAGAGAAACAAAGCAGGTTCAGGAGACAGGATGTAACAAGGTCAAAGGACATCTCCATGTGGTCAGGGGAAGCCTCTCTGATTTGATATGGTGACATTGGAGCAGAGACCTGAATGAAGCCACATGAGGGGGGTGAGAGGTGGGTGCACCTGTGCCCAGGAAGTGCAGCTCCTACAGTAAGGAGCAGTGACTGGATGGAAAGAACTGGGGTGAGAGCAGTAAGAGGTGGCAGGGGCAATGCAGAGCTTTGCAGGTTGTGCTGAGGACCTGGTGTTTTCTCTGAGTGGGACCAGGAGGCACTGGAGAATTGTAAGCTCACAATGGGAGAAAATGAGGCAGCAAGTGCGGCTGTGTATCCACAGGTGATGATGGCTCAGCCTTAGGTGGTACTGAGAAGAGGTGGTTAAGTTCTGGAGATGTTGCTGAGGTTGGACCTCCCATGTTTGATGAATTGGTTGCACACGGAGTGTTGGTGTAAAGGAGAGAAGTGAAGGCTGCCTCAGTTGTGTCCAATCAACTAGAAGCATGGGGTTTTCACTTCCTTAGGCAGCGATTTAAGGAGTCAGGGAGGACAATGGAGATGTCTTTTAGAACTCCACATGCTGATGTGGAGTACACATTCAAAATTCAAGTCTGGAACTTGGGCAGGGAGGTGGAATTATTGAAGCCACACACATAAGTGTGATTGCATTGCTTAGGGAGAATAGTAGAAGAGAGGAAAGGAGGCCCCCGGTCCCTACCTGTCCCAGTACTGCAGTGGTCAGAGAGATGAAAAGGGTCTGGCAAGAGAGACCAAGCAGATGGCATAAAGATCTGGGGAAGAGGCCAGACCAGAAGTAGAATTCAGGGGAAAAGGGATGACAGGCAGGTTAAGCAAGGGGAAGACTTCATACCCCTACTGGATTGGAATCCTTTGGATATTTCAGTCTTGATAAGAGTGGTTTGGGAGGTTGTGAAGTGAAAGTGAAAGTACTTAAGAGGCAGCAGGAGGGCAGTGGGTTCAACAACTGTCTAAGGCGTTCTGCTGTGAGGGGAGCAGAGTGCAGAGTGGCCGGAGAGGAAGGTGGAGGGAGGTTTCTGGCTTTTTTACGAAGGAAATCACAGCATATATATATTGCTAGTGGGACATAACCAACCATCCTGGTGTTCATGGGGTTCAGGACTTGCCATTTTAAAGCCGGGTTGGTTTCCTGGATCCACATGATGAAGACCCTTTCACTTTTCTCCTCTCAACCACTGCCTGTGCCACTTTCCATCACCATCTGGAAGGAGCCAAAATAGCCTCCCTCTCTCCCTCCAAGCCCTGCCCTCCTTGTCCCCAAAGCCAGGCAGCCTCTAGGACTGTCAGGGTGCTCCCCAGATGCCTATGGGAAAGCCAGCCCTACACACCAAGCTCGACCGATGCTGGCATTCGAGTTACCACTTAGATGGCCAGTGTTGTACAGGGACTCCAGCCAGCAGTGTAGACTGTGCCCCCAGCCTGACTTCTCTGCCCAGCTCCTCCCTAAGGGGTGTCACCGGTTGTTGTGCTCCAAACGCCTTTAGCCCCTTAAGTGTGAGGCAGGGTCTCTTATAATAAGCTGGGACCCCAGTTACATTTGCCATCTTTTTCCTATAGGAAGACTCAGAGGACAGTGAAATTGACTTGGAAGATGATGAAGAAGACGACGATTTGGAAGATGAAAGTATTGCTCTCTCACCAGCTAAGCCCAGTCGAAGGGTCAGGAAACCTGAGCCCCTGGATGAGAGTGACAATGACTTCTGACCCTCTTGCCAAGGGACCGAGGCAGATTAAGAGCCTCATATTTGTAGGTAAATAGGAAATTAGAAGATTGGGAAGGTAACATGTATTTTGTTCCCTATGCCATTGTTCCTGAGCAGATTTCTTTGTGCTTTACCTTGCTGTGTTTGTATTCTACAAAGCCTAAATAAGAACTGAAGCAAACCCCAAAGATGATTTCCTTTGCCTTCTTTATTTCCTAATACTTGGAAATGCAATGTTCTTAGTAGTTCAAATCCACATGACAAGAATTTAAGGAGTACGGGCTGAAACCTAAGTTTTTGCCACTGCTGCGATCACACATGTCCTCTGAGAGTTCATCTAATGAGGCTGAAACTTGGCCTAGCACTTGTTTTACGAACTATGGGGAAACATCTGGCTGTTAATCACTTGCACAGTGCTGAGCATCTACTGGACACTGGCTTTTTTTTAGGGGAGGGTTATTGTTTTATTATTCATATGTGCATACAAGGCTTGGGTCATTTCTCCCCCCTGCCCCCACCCCCTCCCTTACCACCCACTCCACCCCCTCCCTCTCCCCCCAAACCCCTCAATACCCAGCAGAAACTATTTTGCCCTAATCTCTAATTTTGTTGAAGAGAGAGTATAAGCAATAATAGGAAGGAACAAGGGTTTTTGCTGGTTGAGATAAGGATAGCTATACAGGGCATTGACTCACATTAGTTTCCTGTGCATGTGTGTTACCTTCTAGGTTAATTCTTTTTGATCTAACCTTTTCTCTAGTTCCTGGTCCCCTTTTCCTATTGGCCTCAGTTGCTTTTAAGGTATCTGCTTTAGTTTCTCTGCGTTAAGGGCAACAAATGCTAGCTAGTTTTTTAGGTGTCTTACCTATCCTCACCCCTCCCTTGTGTGCTCTTGCTTTTATCATGTGCTGAAAGTCCAATCCCCTTGCTGTGTTTGCCTTTGATCTAATGTCCACATATGAGGGAGATCATACGATTTTTGGTCTTTTGGGCCAGGCTAACCTCACTCAGAATGATGTTCTCCAATTCCATCCATTTACCAGCGAATGATAACATTTTGTTCTTCTTCATGGCTGCATAGAATTCCATTGTGGACACTGGCTTTTAATTGTAGCTTTTTCATTTTATAGTCATATTTTTTCTGCATGCTCACAATCCCAAATACTAGATGCATTTTAATAACTATAATTTTCTGAGACATTAGCTAAGTTAGATGGAAAGCAGATTTCCTTGACAGTCAGGCAAAAGCGGCTCCAGATTATGCATATTCCACCTCCTCTCAGAAGGCTGATGTTGCTCCGGGAGGCAGATTCAACTGATCTAAAGCTGCCTTCGTGTTTCCCCAGCGTGTGCTACGTTTGGGGACTGCTGGCCTGGGCTGCCGTTCAGAGATTCCAGCTCCTGCCACAGTGACAGCTGCCACTTCCTCCTTCTGCTAGTGGCACTTCTCAAAAGCACTTTGTCTACAGTGTGACAAGGCACTCATCTGTAGCACAGGGATCAAGACAGGCTTTCTGCATTTCCCTATCTGAGTGTCTCCTTAGGGAAAGGGCCAGCTGAGAAAAGTGTGCCAGTACAGATCTGTGTTTCTGATTTAAAAAGTCTTTGCTCCCATTTCCTGTGTGGGGACAGGAAATGTTTCTCTCTCTTTTCTCTCCACAGCTCCCTTGTCTATACTTTATCCTGTTATACTAAAATAAATCCTTGCTACAACTTTAAAAAAAAAAAAAAGTAAACCACAGCTAAATTATATAGTAGCACTAGAAAAATTTCTCATGAGATAAAAGCAAGAGACAGAAGGAGTAGGCTTTTACATATGGAATGGTTTTTATGTATTTTACAGTTACAAAGTCAGAAGATTTCTGAAGTTGCTTATCTTTTAATAAAATGTATTTAATATCACATTTTTATATTAAGTTTTCTTGTAAATATAATTAATAATACTATATACTATAATAAATAAATAATACTATAATTAATCAACCTAAACTAGCATTTAGGTCATTATTGACTATTTTTTTTAATATATAATTAAAGGACCTCTTAAAATGTTTTAAAATATGTATACTAACAGAAAATACAAAGGAATTTTTCAAATCCTCAATTTTTTATTGGTGGTAACCACCAGGAACAAAGTCCAAAGACTTCCAGTAAGAATTTGTTGGGACAAGAAGAAATATAAAATCTCATTCATTAGAATTTTAAACTAATATCAGTGTTCAGCATCTGAAAGGAAAGTGTGTCCACTGAGGTCAGTAGCACTCTACGTAAATATCACAGCTATTGTCAGACCCAAAGTCCTCTCACTGCTAGAATCCAGGACTTGCTAAATGGGAAGGGAGCTGATGTTCATCCTTCCTAGGGTTGAAGTCCTTTCTCTGGAGATGAGTTTTCTGTTGTACTCTATAGTGTCTTTGTGGCCAGCTGGCGTTGGTATGTCCATGACTGCAGAGTGAAGCACTGTTTCACATAGCTTAGGCTGTGTGGCTTATTTGAAGAGAGAGAGGGAGGCCTGGATACAAAAGATAATCAGGAGAGGGATCCTTACGATGAGTCAGTGGGTCATTTAAGTAATTCGGAGGGAAGATTTGTTTTACAAGGATGTGAATAAATAAAGTAGCAATTTCAAGCCAGGTTGATGGCACAGCCTCTAATTCTAGTACTGGAGAGGCTGAGGTAGGAGGATCATGACTTTAAGGCCAGCCTGGGCTTCACAGTGAGACCCTGTCTCTAAAAAAATAAGTAAAATAAAAAGCAGTTTCAGGAACCTGATACATTGTCACATGGAATCCCTCTAACTTTGGCCATGGGGTCATTTTCTACAGATATGCTTCCTGGTACTTGTTTCTTCTCATTGAACATTTACTGAGCACTTACTGTTCTCAGCTATTGTGCTAACTACTGAAGAATTCAACAGTACATAAGTCTTATGTACTTGATAAGCTGACAACCTAGAAAAAAAGAAGCTTCAACATTGTAATACAGTAAAATGCATACCATGTCAAGGGTGCCATAAAGTGTCATGAGAACCCAGAGTGAGGAGAAGACTCTTCCTTGCCTGGAAGAGTCGATAAAGATGTCTATGCAAATCAGATTGGATCTTCTAGGGTTTTTGTTTTGTTTGTTTGTTTGTTTTGCAGTGCTGAGGATTAAACCAGAGCCTTGCTGCACTGGGCAGGTGCTCTACCACTGATCCACACCCCCAGCCCTTGACTGGATCTTAACGGTTGAGTGGGAGTTCATCAGATAGAGAAGATCAGGTGTGACATCCTAGTGGGCCTGACTTGTGAAGGCACAGAGTTGGCAAAGGGCATAGCCTGCAGGAAAATGACAAATCGCATAGTAAGGCTGAAGTGTTGAGTGTATGGTAAGGGAATGACAAAGGAACTGCCTTGTTATGCTAAGAAATTGGTGGGTTTGTCCTATGGGTGGATTCTACCTCCAGAGATGAGAAGGTGTTTTCAGAACAATTACTCTGGCAAAGACTGGGAAGGAAGACAGGGGATACAGCAGACTGTGTTACAGGAAGAGCCCTTAGAACTAGATTCACATATCAGAAGAGACCATTTATATGGGGAAGCAAGCTAAAGAAGTGAAATTGCAGGAGATGGGAATTCTAGTTTGGGTGTTTGTTAACCTGAGAGGTACAACAGGAATAGCAGGTAGGGGTAGGCACCGGGAGGAAATTGGAGAACATGCTGTTTAGACATCCAGGTGGCAATATCCAGTAATCACTTGGAAATATGCAAGCAGTAGGGACTTCCAGTTAAACCTGGCAGACAGAATATATTATTTTGTCTCTGTCCTCTTGTGAAATTCCACTAAAATGAGAGAGAATTTCAGAGGAGGTAAACATACAAGGTTAAAAACAACTAAAGTAGAGACCAGACTGGATGAGATGGCAACATATTGGTGGGGGGGACATAAAAAATAGATGAATAATCCTAGCTACTTGGAAGGCTGAGATCAGAAGGATCATGGTTCAAGGCCAGCCCAGGCAGATGGTTCGAGAGACCCCATCTCCAGTATTACCAGAACAAAATGGGCTGGAGGTATGGCTCAAGTGATAGAGAGCCTGCCTTGCAAGCACAAAGCCCCAAGTTCAAACCCTAGGCCCACAAAAAAAAAAAAGACTAGATGGAGATGTTAGAGTTAGAGCTATGGAAGCTGAGACCCACCGGTCATCTCAAGCAGAACTTCCAGAGACTTAACAAAAAAAGTCTGAGGTGACAAATGTGCAAGATGCAGTTAACATAATGAATACTGCAGAAGAAAATATTATTGACCCTGTAGCAATAAGACACTGTCCAAAACTGAAAATAAGAACAAGACAAAACCAACCCACCGGTCTAGTTAATGATTTATTGCCTCAATTCCAAATTCTCCTTTTCGACCCGCTCTGTAAGGCAGGTAGGGCCTTGGAAATATTTCTCCTCTGCCAGCCAGCAAGCTGTAATGCCTTGTCAGAGGAATGCTAGAGAGACTTGGGCTGGGGGCGGTGGGGTAGGGGGGGCTTCCTTTTCATTCTAATGGGGCTTTTTCTCCACAGTTCTGGCCCCTCAGGCTTCTCTAGTGCTCAGTTTGTACAGGGCACAGCATTCCCAGCTCTCCATTCTGCAGAGCTCTCAACTCCACAGAGAGAGATCTCATAATGAATGAGAGGCAAAGCCCTTGAAGACCTTTCTTTGTCTCCAGAATCTTAGAATTAACCCTTCATTTCTCTTCACAAACTTCCTATAATTTCTCCCTAAGCCTGTAAAGATGACAACCTAAGCCTTTTCTTCTTGAGACAGGGATGAAGGGTCTCCATTGTCACCCCTGCCAAGCTGATGTTCTTAATGGGCTTGAAGCTGGCAACTTCAGAAGAGAGGGTGACGTTCACCACCTGAGTAAAAAGGAGCAGAGATAGATTTGTTTTAAGTTGGGGCACATAAAGGACTCAGGGTATAAAAAAGCTGGGACCAGCTTCCAACATTGCTGAGTTTTCAGGCTTTGTCCCCGAGTCCCTTGGTGGCAGCTCCTCTCCTCTCTGTGCCATGGCAGAGTGTCCTTCCACCCTGAACCTGGGCAGGAGAAGTGCCCATGACTTCCTTTGGTAGCTCCTTTCCTTTCTCCCTGCAGGAGAACAGCTCTGGTGCTGGGCCAGCAGCATTCTGGATCACAGAAGTTGGAGATCATTCATTCTGCTTGAAAACTTCCAGCTGAGTCTCTACTGGTCCTGCATGATCCACCAGGAACTTGATTTCCTTACATTTCCACAATGCATGCAGGAACATTTGTCTTGATAGCCTCTGAGATCATCCTAGCACCAGATTCCCCAATGAGATTTTCCTGGAGACTAGAATAGAAAGACTAGGTCAGAGCTCGACACCCACAGGTTTTTTGAGTCGAATGATCGTGACTATAGCAAATGCAGGACTCTGTGGAGCCTTTGCCCTTCCAGAACTTCTCACAGACAAGGCTCTAGCACGCTCCTTAGACTGAATTCACCTGTGGGGTTGCTGGGGCTCTTAGGTGTCAGCTCACTCCTAGAATTGGGCTAAAGACAGGGCCTGATCTGGAAGCAATTCTAAGAGTGGGTAAGAGTGGCTCCAAAGGGCAGATGCCGCTGAGTCTACTCACTTGATGTGCTGCAGCCTGCAGTTTCCAGACAGTGCACTGGCAATGAATATGGCCCCATCCATCCCCAAGGAGTTTTCTTGGAGACTAGGTAGAGAAGAGATGGAGATGCCATGGTGAACCATCAGGACAAAAGAAATGGCCTTGAGGAGGCAACACTGCCTTACCTTGTGGGAGCAGTAGAGGGGCAAGTGGTTCTGGGGTTGATATGCCCATAGGCACCATAACAACTTCTAGGTGGCATCTGACCCCTGAGACTGATATTTACAAGTAGCCAGGTGCCCTACCCAAGACCATAAATGCAGATTTTAAGTAACTGTGACTTAAGCAGAATGAACAACCAATTGCAATGAATGTGACTGTAATAACCAGAATAGCGTGAGTCATTCACATCCACATGGAAGCAGATAGAAGAAATCAGGAGTGTTTTACGCCAGGGGAAGACCAGCACAGTGTGCTGCTCTGGGATGCAGGCAGGTCTCCACAGGCACTTACTTGAGTCTTCGGAGACTGGAGTTGACCTTCAGAGCATTTGCCAGGGCCTTGGCTCCAGCCGCCCCGATGGCATTTCCTCGTAAGCTGTCAGGAAGAACAGAAAACTTAAGGTGCAGAGACAGACTGGTGACAATTATACCACTTCAGAAGGTTGTGGTGTTGCTTGGACTTTCCCAGTCACAGGAGATGAGAGTCACTCCTTCCTCACTGCTGCACAACAGAACAGAAATAAGCTCTAAGGGAATAGGACACACAAGAAAGAGGTGAGGCTGTCTCAGCCTAGGTGCCTTTTTGGAGCTCTCGTTCTCCTTTTCCATTCCAAAGATGGAAAAACTGGAGAGGCACCTCTCGATCCAGTCTGCTAGGATCACAAGAGTTCTCAAAAGCAGAGGTGACATGGGCATTCCTGAGAGCCACATACAGCTTGAGCCCCCATACCAGAAGTTGGCCTTCTCCTAGACAAGATTCATGGCTACTGGGTACCTCAGGGACCTAAACAGGCATGGCCTCTAGACATGTTCATCCAGGGCAAGGCCATCCCAGAGAGCAGGATAAACTATAGTGACTTCGGGGAAAAGGCATAAACTGGAATGGGGAACTTGGGGCACACTTGACCAGATATGAAAATGATCAGCGAGCTTCTGGGTAAACTGACATTTCCTCTTTATTCCTTTTGAATCATTAGTTTTATTTCTTTGGGCAAAAGACCATCACTGGAGACAGGAATACTCACTCAAGAATCTCCAATGTCCTGTTCACAGCCAGGCTTCTCCCAGTGCCTGGGCCCCCTGGGTGCCAATGGAGGCTACCTGGAGGCTATAAAGAAGATGCAGTCAATGCAGGCAGGTGGGGTCGCTCCCACTCTCGTGCCTATTCTGGACTCAACCTCCCTCCATACTCTCCATTTTTTGGCAAGGGCAGACTAAGAACAAGATACGGATGCTGAGGTGGTCTCCTGGAGAAGAATGCTCACTGTGCCCCTAATTCTTTCTAGAAGTTTGATTCCTCAGTTGCTGATATTAGGAAAGCCAAACATGCCTTCCTTGACTGGTAAGCAAAGATGGTGTGTGACATGAGAGGAGGGTGAAGGGGCTGGCCCCTGGGCTCCAAGCACATCTAGGACTTACTAGAGAGCAGTGAGGGCTGTGTTCACCTTGAGCGCACTGGCCACTGCAGAAGCTCCTTCGTCACCAATCGCATTCTCCTGTAAGCTGAACACAGAGCATGACCCCTTGGCACATAGAGGACAAGGAATAGCACTCTGGCAATGACCTGCCTGGTTTGGGCCATCTGGATTTAATTCAGACCACACACTAGGCATACTTCCAGTTGCCCTGAGCAGCCGTTTTGCCCGTGGCCTCATAATTAACCCTGAGAGGGTTCTGGGGTCTACATGAGCTTGAATGAACCATCAGAAGCAAGCAAGGAAAGGGACATATGGGAATTACTGTTAACACGGGTTTGGGATAAAATGTGTTTTTCAAAGCCAACTGAAAATTGAAACCCTCAAGTTATAGGCATTCTTACTGATTACGGTTCTGTATCTTTTCCCCACTTCCAAATGGCAGGCCCTGGAACAGTAAATGACTGTTTAGGTCAAGGGGACATTGACATGTTTGGGGTGCAGTTTGCATTAGTTACTTTAGCAAACATTTGTGTGTGCCAAGTGTACTAAGTGTACAAGGCAGCGGGCCCAGCTCTGCACTGCTGGAACTCAGGTGGGAAGACACGATTAAATGATCAGTTATGATAGGCCACCTGCAGACTGCAGGGAAGACCAGCAAGGTCTCTACCCCCAGTAGCGTGCCCAGAAGGAATAGGTCTAAGCAACCACCTAAGGGGTGAGACAGACAGGTAAGGCTGGCACATCTAAGGAACCCTGGGAGATTAAGCCAAGTTCCTGGAGTGGTGAGAATCTAAGTTTGGGAGACCTTCTAGGGCCTTGGAAGCCACACTTGAGGGCTCACACTTCACTCTTCAGGCACCAGGCAACCATTTAAGGATCACACCCTGGGTGGGAACGGAGGGACATTCTGGAAAGCTCTCTGGCCAGCAATATGAAGGGAGAACCTGGATATGGAGGCTGTGTGGTGACACCGATGAGTGATGGTTTGGCTGGGGTGGTTGGTGGCAGTCAAGGGAAATAGGAGGAACAGTGGGAGGGAGAACTGAGCTGGAAGTTGAATGGTTGGTTGGTTCCAGGAGTCAGGTGGGGAACCAAGAAGCAGATTTGTGGGAGAGAATGTACTGAATGTACTGAGGGTACATGCAGAGGGAGCATGGAAAGACAGGTGGGATGTGGATGTCACATCATTGGAAATTTGGGGTCATTGGAACCCTGAGAGAGGAGAGCTCCAAGAAAGGGAAGGCCATTCAAGGGGAGAGGGCCTGACCAGAATACTGAAGACCCCATATCTAAGAGTGTGACAGGAGAAAGGATGAGAAGGACCAGCCAGAGAGGAGGGAAGAGAGAGCCTGAAAGCTGAAGGGGAAGAGATGGCCAGAGTAGAAGCAGATGAGTCAAAAGGTTAAGTGTCGGTTAACAGCTAACCCAGCAATTCCACTCCCTGGCCTATACCCCAGAGAAATGAAGCATATATCCTCACAGAATCCTTGCGGAAGTCTTCATGGCAGTATTATTCATAACAGCCAAGAAGTAGAAGCAACCCAAATTCCCATGAGCTGACAAATGGATAAAATGTGTGTAGCTGCATAATGGAATAGTACTCAGCCATTAAAAGGAATGAAGTACTGACTCATGTATTGAAAACACCCAGTGAAAGATGGGTGCTTGGGGGTAACTCAACGGTAGAGTGTGTGCTTAGCATACTTAAGGTCCTGGGTTTGATCCCCAGGTCACACACAAAAAGTAGGTCCAGAAAAAACACATGTGATTGGATTTATATCAAATGTCCAGAATAGGCAAATTAATAGAGACAAATAGATTAATGTTTTCCAAGGGTGGGTGGAGGAGAAAATGGAATGACCACCGATAGGTACAGGGTTTCTTTTAGGGTGATGGAAGTGTCCTAAGATTGTGGTGATGGCTGTACAACTGGAAACCAGTGAATTATACATTGTAAATGGGTGGATTTTATGTATGGTATGTGGACTGTTTCTCAGTTAAGGTTGTTTTAAAAGCAGATGAGACTGAGACAATCTTGCTTATGGCAGAGGAGACTGTACCTGGGGGGCTCTGAGTTTTCAAGTTCCCCTGTACTCCCCTTCCCACATCCTCAGCAGGCCATACTTACTCTAAGCTTGTCAGGCTCCTGTTGAGCTGGAGTGCTTGTCCCAAGGCCCTGGCAGCACTGGCCTGGATGAAGTTCCACTGCAGACTGGGCAGACACAAACATGTGACTATGTGGTTGAGGGGCAGAGCCATGGAGGCCCTGAAGGGTCTTGGGTCGGGTGAGGTCCAACAGGCTGTGGCAAGAGAATTCCTACAGCTTCCCTCAGGCTCAGTCCCCAGAGGGTCACTGTGCACTTTCTGTTAGTGTTGGCCACAGAGATAAGCTCAAATACTCTTTAAATAGCCCCTGCTTAAAGCATGGGTCACCCCAAGGGACAGCCATGGTATTCACCTTCTAGCCTGGGTCTGCCTGAGGATCAGCCTCAGGAACTCTAACCCAGGATGGGGCACATCATGGAGGTGGGCAGATTGCAAAGACCCTTGGAATCTTGGGGAGGGGTTACAAAGCCAAGGTCAGAAGGACCATAGTTTGGGTGTGGCCCTGCAGCTCTACAGAAGGGGTGGGGGTGGTGGCAGTGACTCACTGAAGTGACGTGAGCGCACGGTTTTCTCCCATTGCCACTGCGATGGCCTGGGCACCCTTGTTGTGGAGGAGATTGGCTGTCAGACTAGGAGGAAGGAAGCAGGAGTGAGTGGGAGCCTACTGTGAAGGCCCTTGTCTTTTGTCACTAGGGAATCCCAACCATTCCCCCATCCTCCAAGGGGCACACCATGTGTGCACTGATGTTAGTTATCTCACGTCTGTGGAGAACTTTGGTGTGCCAGGCACATGCCCTGGAGCGTTATACCAAACCCTGAAAACCCCAGAGGATGTCCCAGGCTCAGTTCAGTGGGTGTGGTGACAGATCTCACAGCCACATTACAGTGGAGTTACACTGCCTGATAGCATGGCCCCATATTAACCCTTCAGAGTGCCCCCCGACACATGCTAGTCCCTCCCCTGGTGTGAGTCCATCCCACTGTCCTCATCTAGGTATAATTTATACCATGATGGAGCACCTGGTCTCCTCACTGCCCCTCCCCACCCATGTCCTCCAACCTTGTGAAATGGTGAGGGCACCAAGGGCCTGGCTCTCGTCAGTCCAGACCATGGGCATAAGTGAGCCTGAGGAAGTACAGTCCCCCTGCCTCCCCTGGCCTCCCCTCTGCCCCACCACATACTCCAGGTGCTTCAAGGTGCTGTTCATGCAGAGAGCTTGAGCAAGGGCCTGTGCTCCCTCGGGGCTAATGGAGTTTTCTCGCAGGCTGAGGAAAGAGAGAAGACCCTGAGATTCTGACTGAGCAGGTACGGTCTCTGGTGGGAGACAAGACCAGGTGTTTAAGCTTTCTGCAGCCCAAGAAACCTCCTGATCAATCTGGGCTGAGGTGTAAAGAAGCCTATTCCAGCCTGGGCTCCAGCCAAGTTTCTGCACTTGGTGTTCTCATTGTCCATCAATGAAACAGGGAAGGTTGGAGGGGCATGATGGCAGACTTCTTCTGTGTGACTCTGAGAATGAGAAGAGTTAAGAGAGACTTCCAAAGAGAAATAGAGAACAGCATCAGGAGTCACAAAAGAAGTGGCAGGACAGCTGGAAAAAAAAACAGAGAAATAGGGCTGGGATGTAGCTCGGTGGTACAGCGCTTGCCTAGCATGCGTGAGGCCCTGGGTTCGATCCCAGCACCAAAAAAGAAAAGACAAAAAAAAAAAAAAAACTATGCAGAGAAAAGTAGCAAACAGTTCATAGCTTCAACCCTGGCTCCATGGTGGGAAGCCAAAGCCACAATCACAAGGTAAACCTGGTAACAACAGACTAGCAGACCTAGCTTCAGGATAAGCCCACAGTTCTCACAAGCCATAAATTAAATTCAGTTGGTGTGACAGTGACTCCCATTTTGTTGCTCCCCATATCTCAGAGCACTATAGCCAAGTGCCATCTCTTGAGAGGGCCTGTGGTTTGAGTCTTGAGCCACTCTGGGGACCTGAAAACAAGGAACAGTTGCAGGTCAGGGAGTCTGGGGACAACCTGCCCCAGTGTCTGAGGTCTCTGGTCATGAGGAGTGATTGTGGAGAGAGAGAGCCTGGTGTGGGCCCACTGAGAAGTTTAAGCAGCAAGGTGCTCAGGCAGCGAAGGGCATAGCGATTGGTGTTTCAAACTTCTGTTGCAAGGAGCAATCCCCATGATATGAAGATCACTGTGGAAATAGAGTTCCAAGCCAATGGCTGGCAGATTGCTTGACACCCAAAGCTGCCTGCTTACTGGGTACAGATTTTGCTGCCAGGTAGGACTGAGAGTTCTGAGCCCCGGTCCTCCAGATCACTCAATTTCCCCAGCCTCTTTCCTGCTGAGAAGGCCGGAAAGTGCTGAGACTGGAAGGCAGAATGTTAGGCTCCCTCTGTTTTCCCCCTCCAGTGCAAAACTGTGTTCTGTTTGCTTTCCTCATTCTTCAACACATTTGGGGAACACTGCTAGGTTTGGATATTTGTTGAAAATTGGGGGGTCTGTGGAGTGAACCTGCTTGGCTTACAGGCAACAGAGCTCACTGGGGCCAGCAGTGGTTCTTGGTACACAATTGAAAGCCTGGGTCAACTTGAAAATAGAATGTCAGGACTTGAAGACAAGGTAGATAAATTAGAACATTCAGACAATAATATAAAAGTATGAGCAGAACAGACACAACCAAATCTGTGAATCATGGGCATAGAGGAAGAAAAAAGTACAAGCTGAAGTCATAAAAACATTTGATAAAATAGTAACAGACAAATTCCCAAATCTTGGGAAAGAAATGATCATCCAGGTACAGGAGGCTTTTAGAATACCAAACAGACAAGACCAGAAAAGAATCTGTGCCATATTATAGTTAAGACATTAACTAAGACAAGGAAAGAATATTGAAAGCCACGAGAGAAGCACCAAGTCACAAATAAAAGCAAATCCATCAGAATTACAGAAGCTTCCTCAACAAAAACTCTAAAAGGAGAACGTGGAACGATGTACTTCAAGCCCTGAAAGAAACTACCAACCTAGATTACTATATCCAGTAAAACTATCCTTCATAATTGACAGAAAAATAAAAATCTCTCATGATAAAAGCTAAAGAAATCTGTGACCACTTAAGGCGGCACTGTAAAAGTTCCTTAAAGGAATCCTACACTGAGATCAGGAAAATAGCACAATCATGAGACTAGAGATAAGAATGTATCTCACTAGGGAATAGATTAGGAAAGAAACATGAAAACAACAAAATGACAAGAATTAGTCATATTTTTCAATAATAAGTGAATGTTAATGGTCTCAGTTCTCCAATTTAAAAACACAGGCTAGCAGATTGAATTTAAAAAACAAGACCCAATCATTCATTGCCTATAAGAAATGCACCTCACCAGCAAGTGCTTTTATATGTGATTAAAGAATGGAAAAAGATATTCCAAACAAATGAAACTCAAAAGCAAGCCAGGAGTAGCTATACACATATCTGACAAAGAAGACCTCAAATCAAATTTAGTCAGAAGAGACACAGGTAATTTCATGTTGATAAAGAGATCAATCTATGAAGAGGATATAATGATTGTAAACAAATATATACCAAACATCAGCATACCCAATTTCATAAACACTACTAGACAGGGCTGGGGATATAGCTCAGTGGTTTAATGTTTGCCTAGCATGCACGAGGCCCTGGGTTTAATCCCCAGTTCCACAAAAAAAAACTCCAAAAAAAAAAAAAAAACACTACTAGACATAAAATCACAGATCCCAACACAATAATAGTGGGTGACTTTAATACCCCACTATCACCAATAGATAGGTCATCCAGACAAAATCATCAAAGAAACTTCAGAATTAAATTGCACTGTTGATCAAATGGACTTAACAGACATTTACAGAATGTTCCACCCACAACAGCCACAGAGTACTTATTCTTCTCAGCATCCCACAGAACTTTCTCTAAAACAAAATGTTTTGGCTGTAAAGCAGATCTTAATGCAAGCAGACTGAAATAATTTCTTGTGTTTTATCAGACCACACTGGAAAAAAATTAGGAATCAACAGCAAGAGAAAATTACAGAAAATATACCAACGTATGGAGACTGAAAAATATGCTTTTAAATGGTCAATGGGTCATTAAATAAAAAAGGGTAAATAAAAATTCCTAGAAGCAAATGAAAATGAAAACACAACATACCAGAACCTATGGGCTATAATGAAAGTGGTTCTAAGAGGGAACTTTACAACTATAAATGCCTACATTGAAAATCAGAAAGAACTCAACTAAAGAACCTAATCTCACAATCTTAGAAACAAGAAGCAAAGACCAAAATTAGTAGAATGAAGGAAATCATAACGATCAGGTGAAATTAACAAAGTAGAGATGAAAAGAACAATAGAAATGAAACGGTTCTTTGAAAGAGTAAACAAGAATGACAAACCCTTAACCCAACTAAAAGAAAAAAGAAAAGTCCCAAATGAATAAAATTGGAGTTGAAAAAAGTGACATTACAAGAGTTACAACTGAAATCCAGACAATCATTAGGGAAAAGTAGCTTTTCTATACACTAACAATGAACTCGCTGAAAAGTCAGGAAAGTAGCCACAGTCACAGTATCCTTAAAACAGAACAAAATGAAATCATTCCACATTTATGCATAAACTTAACCCAAGATTAAAGACATCTATGATGAAAACTGTAAAGCATTGAAGAAAGAAAACGTAGACTTCCCATGTACGTAGATCAGCAGAATATTGTTAAAATGGACACACTACCAAAAGCGATATGCAAATTCAGTGCAATCCCCATCAAAATTTTAATTACATTCTTCATCTAGATTTTTTAAATAGAAAAAAATCCTATGAAAACACAAAAGACCCCAGATAGCCAAAACAATCCTAAGCAAAAAGAGTAATGCTGGAGCTATCACAATATCTGATTTCAGACTACACTACAGGGCCATAGGAACAAAAACATCATAGTACTGGCACAAAAACAGACAGATGAATGGAACAGAATGGAAGACCTGAAAATAAACCCAAGCAGAGTAATATCTCTCACTAAAAATCAACTCTTAATGGATCAAAGACCTGAAACTTTGAAACTCTAGAGGAATATATAAGAGAAACATTTCAAAACACAGGCAAGGACTTTCTGAACAGGACTCCAAGAGCTCAGCAAGTAAGAACAAGAATTGACTAATGGGGTTGCATCAAATTAAAAAGCTGCTTCAAAGAAAAAAAAAATCAAGATGAAGAGACAGCCTATAGAACGGGAGGAAATCTTCACCAGATATTCGTCTGACAGGGGATTGATATTCAGAATAAATAACTAAAAAACTCAGACACCAAAAGAACAAATAACCCCATCAGTAAATGGGCAAATGAACTGAACAGATACTTCAAATGACAAATACATGAAGAAAGTTCAACATTAGGGAAATGCAAATCAAAACTGCATTAAGATTATTCCTTCTCATCCCAGTCAGAATGGCTGTCATCAAGAAACTACAAACACTGCTGAAGACACAAGGGAAAAAGAATTCTTATTCACTGCTGGGAGAATGTAAATTAGCCCAGCCACTATGGAAATCAATATGGAGGTTCCTCATGCGACCTAGCCATACCACTTCTGGGTGTAAACCCCAAAGGATCAAAGCTTACTATAGAGACACCTGTACATACGTGTTTATCATGGCAGCATTCACAACAGCCAAATTATAGAATCAGCCTAGATGCCCATCAGCTGATGGAGATATATATATAGAATTTACTCAGCCATTAAGAATGAAATTGTTTGGTGGCAAATGGACAGAACTGGAAGTAATCATGTTAAGTGAAAAAGGCCAGTCCCACAAAGACAAGTATCACGTGAAAACTAGGGAGTGAAAAAACCCCAAGGTCGTGAAGGTAAAAAGGGGGACTACTAGGGAGATGGGAAGGTAGGGGAAGAGGAGGAAGCAGGAGAAAGATAAAGAGAATAGATGGGAGTGAATATGATTGAAGTTCTTTATATGCACTTATGGAAATGTCATGATGAAACCTCTTACTAGGTACAATTTAATATATGCCAATAAAAATCTTCCTTAAAAAGCTGTATGAGCCCAGCATCGGTGGCTCCCACCTATAATCCCAGCTACTCAGGAGGCAGAGATCAGGAGCATCACAGTTTGAAGCCAGCCCCATGGGAAATGGTCATGAGACCCTATCTCAAAAGATCCATTACAAAAAAAGGTTGGCAGTGGTCAGAGCATCTGCCTAGCAAGCAGGAGGCCCTAGGTTCAAACCTCAGTGCTGCAAAAAAAAAAACAAAACTAAACGAGAACATCCAGGAGCAGTAGAACAGGACCACAGGACCTCAGCGGTGTGAAGTTCATGAAACAGGTTGTATACTTAGCACCTGAAGGACTTGCACATAGGAAGGGAGAGCAGAGCAGCCCACTGGGGACAACTGTCCCCTGCTATCTTGAGAGAGAAGGAAGAGGGACAGGGTGTCAAATTCTAGGACCAAGCCTTCCCTGACCACAGATTTCCCCACATCAGGCTTCCCAGTCCCAACCTTTCCTTCCAAGTCCCAAAGTCCCCGAGTTCCCCCGATCAAACGAACATCATGGTTGGAAGAAGGCCAGGACTTACTTGAGGCTGAGGAGGGTCTGGTTGGTGCAGAGGGCCTCCATCAGAGCTGCCACTCCTGTGTCACTGATGGAATTGCTTTGCAAACTGCAGAGAGAGGATGGGGCATGGCCATCCCAGGACCCAGAGGGAACCACCTGGTCCAGCCTCAGACCACAGGCACTGGGTTCAACAGGGAGCTGGGGAGCCTGGAAACTGCTCTTTTCCTCAGCCCTCTTTTCTCTTCCACTGTCCCACCTTCTAGCTCCTGCCAGGTTAGGGAAGGTAGGTTTCACACAGCCCCAAGATTTCGACTCAGCCACATGGATGACTCTGAACCTCCTCAGAGGATATGTTAGCCCTATAGCCCAGAGCAGAGTCACCCAGCTTCCCCCACTGCCCTACCAAGGCCCCTCTTCAGTCACTTGTGCTCACTTAACAAGGGCACTTGGGACTTATCATTCTGGAAACTCTAGAGCCAACCCTAACCCCTACTATCCAAAGAAATGAAGCTGGTGAGTGGATGGTGTGGGACGAGAGGCAGATGGAGGGGCAGAGAGTAGGCTCAGGTTGTTAGGGTTCTGCCAGCCGCTAGCTGTTGCAGAACCCAGGAGAAAGTGTAACTCCTAGAAGGGGTGGTCAGGCAGACTCACTCTAAGCTTTCCAGGACTTGGTTCATCTTCAGGGCCTCAGCCAGAGCCTTGGCACCTCCATCACCAATGCTGTTACTGGAGAACCTGCAGGAGACACATGCTGGTAAGTCATATTCCTAGAGTAACCAGACAGGGCTGGCCTGGGGGGTCAGAGCTCAGGTAAACTTGGGAGGCCATCTCTGTTGTCTCAAGGGTGCCCAGTGCAGTGTTCTGCCTGAGTCCTGTTGATCTGTAGTCTCTGCAAGTGACTACCTGCTACCTGTAAGAGATCAAAGTTTCAAAGTCCTCCTTGCTTCTCTTTGCAAGGGCAGGGGTCAGCATCAACCCTTAGTGAGAGGTGTTTGTGTACTTCAGGTAAAGAGGGCCAAGAAATGCTATTTCTTCTACAAGGTGGCAAGGCAGCAGTGTGAGCCTAAGAAGACCTCACCTAATCCCGGGAATCTGGGCCTCCATTCTCCTTGTTCAGTGCTTTGAAGTCCAAAACCAGCTATCCTGCACCCACATTTACCTCCATCCATCCATCCATCCATCTATCCTTCCATCCATCCTTCCATCCATCCATCCATCCATCCATCCTTCCATCCATCCATCCATCCTTCCATCCATCCATCCATCCTTCCATCCATCCATCCATCCTTCCATCCATCCATCCATCCATCCATCCATCCATCCATCCATCCTTCCTTCCATCCATCCATCCTTCCATTCACCCACTGCCATGCTCACAGACATTTAGAATGGACTGGCTTTGTGCTAAGCATTGAGTGCCAATTTGACCCTCTGGCATTTCTCACATGAGTTCCTTCAGACTCTTGTTCTGCTTCAGGGCATCTGCCATCCGCTGGGCTCCCATGGGCCCAATGGTGTTCTTTTGTAGGCTGTGAGAGAGGAGAGGGGCCCATCAGCAAAGTCATCCACAGCCATTCCTATGCCAAGGACAGTCTGGGTTCAGGGTAAGAGGTCAGAGACAAGCAAGGCGCTCCCTCTGCTTATCACAGCAGTGGAAAGGGGTCTCACAAAAAGTCTGGTAAGGGACAAGGGCAGCTGAGGCCTTTTGTAAGGGGCTAATAGTGCTGAACTGGCTGGGGATTTCACATGCTAGTCTCACCCACCAGTCTACCTCCCATCTAGACCAGCCAAAAGTTGGCCTCCCACCTTAAGAAACCACCCTGGGGAGAGGCACAGAAGGACGGATAGGAAGGACCTCTCCTGTATGAACTAAATACCAACCTTTTAAAAAAATGTAATTTTCCAAAAAAGAAAAGAGACATTTCCCTTTTCTCAGACTACTTCCTTGAGGAAACTTGAGATTGCCTTTGAGATAGGTCAAGTTCCTTCAAGAGCTCCATCAGTCTCCTGCCAATTTCATAGCCTGTGAGTGTCTTTCTAAGGGTGGGGCCTTCTCTTTTTTTTTTTAATTAATTAATTTTTTTATTATTCATATGTGCATACGGGGGCCTTCTCTTGAAAGGTAAGCATCAAGGAAAGCAGTGTCACCATCTCCCTGCCATTGTGGGAATTATTCTGAGCACCTGGCTCTAAGTAGTGAAGTACCTGATTGTCATAAAGAAGGTTTTCTTTTTCCTCCCCTTGGAAGATCAGTTAGGTGTACACAGACAGGTGGTCACCTCAATTATCTGGTTAATTCAGGATAAGCTATGTGTGATGCTTATGTGGTACTGTCAGGTCCTTTTACTTAAGGACATTTATCGTTTACCTTGAGAACACAAGTGGAGTGGGTTGTATCTACTGAGCTACAGGAAAGGATCAGAGTTCTTTCTGTCTTTGCAACCTCACTCACAGGTTACCTATAATGCACACTGCAGTCAGGTAAATGCTTCTTTGATAATAAGGCTTACGTTTGTGAGAGGATTCTCTGGGTTGGCAGGAAGTTTTATTTTCAGTAATGTTCCCTCACCTATTATCTAGAAAAGCAGTGAGTATCTTGTTTTCCAGGAGCCTCCAGGTAGGTCAGAAAACTTCAGGATGACCCAACCTGTTCACTCTTGTAGGAAACAAACAGAAGCCAAACAGGAGAGAGGGAGGGAGGAAAGAGAGGAGAAGAGAGAGGGGGCAAGTCCACTCACTGCAGCACAGAGAGAGTCTGGTTGGAGGCCAAGGCCTCGGCCATGCACCTGGCGCCATCATCCTTGATCGTGTTGCCCTGGAGACTGTGGAGGCAAGAAGGGGCGTGGCACTGATGGAGCAGAAGAGAATGCTCAGCGGTGGCCTGAACTCCCACTACAGTGTGGCACCTCCATGGGGCAAGGCTCTCTTAAGGGCCCAAGAGGAGCAGCAGCTGACATTGGTGAGAAGAAACTCTACCAAGTCTGCCCTTCTCACTGCCCACCCCACAGGGAGGACAGTCCGCCCTTCACACACCCAGTCGCTAAGCACTTGCTTGCCAACTGAGAACAAAGTACGCATGCTGTACATGGATCAAACGATAACAAAGCCATTCATAGTCCTCATTACAGCTAAGAGCCAAGAGGATGTGGAGAAACTGGAACCCTCACACCGCTGGGGGATACAAATGATCCAGCGTCTATGGAACACAGGTTGGCAGCTCCTCAACAGCTTAAACTTAGAATGTGACCTAGAAATTCCATCCTAGATATATACCCAAAATAATTCAAACAAGTACATGAATACTTGCACACAAATGTTCCTAGCAGCATTATTCATAAGAGCCAAAAGGTAGAAACAGCCAAAATGTCCACCAGTGGATGAATTGATAAACAGTCCATCCATATAAAGAATGCCATTCAGCCATTAATGGAACGAGGCGTTGACCCATGCTACAACATGGATGGACCTTGATGCTAAGTGAGGAAGACGGACACAAAATACAATTCCATTTGTATGAAATGTCCACAGTAGATAAATCCATACAAACAGGAAGCAGATTGGTAGTTTCCAGAGACTGGGGGAAGAGGAGAATGGAAAGTGACTGCTAATGGGTACAAGGTCTTTGTGGGTCACGAAATGTTTTGGAAATAGAGAGAGGTGATGGTTGCCCGACATCATGAAGGTACTAAACACCGGTGGACCATATACTTCAAAATAGTAAATTTTATATTCTGTGAATTTCACCTCAATAACAATAAATAAATAAATGGGGGGGAAAAAACAGGACAGTGGTGCCCACTCAACTGAGGATTGATAAAACCACAGGCTCCTGAAAGCAACATGGCAAACCACACCAAACATCGGTACCTCCTGGGAAAATGGGCCTTTCAGTGTCCTGGAAAACACCTCAGCAGAGAAGTCTGACACCATGACTTTAGGGATTTATAGGGGCACTAAAAGGAGGATAGTGCTGAAATTTGTAACTTGCTTAGGATACAATCTCCCTGATCCCCAGTGAGGTGGGAGCTGGCGTCCCATGCCAACCATTTTGAATCACCTCCCTCTCCATAGGTGGCTCCTGAGGCAAAGATTTTGGGGGCAGGTTGCAGGGGACACTACCTCAGAGAGGCTAGAGTGCGGTTAATCCTCAGGGCATCTGCCAGTGCCTTGGCCCCCTGTGGTCCGATGGCATTACTGCGGAGGCTGGTGGAAGCAAGAGGGAAAAATGACTTCCAGGGAGGGAAGAAGGGACTGAAAGTACACCAATCTTTGGACCCTTGATCCTTAGGGGGAATGCATCAGGGTTTAGGATTTCATATTTGGGAGACCCAGGACAGAGATCCTTATATAGGTAAACAAGGAGTATCCCCCAAGTCAGCCCCATGTGATGGGGGGAAGGGAGGAGGACTTGACAGTGTGGTGGGCTTGGGCCAAATGTGGAGATTAGGAGAATGATGACTTTAGGTTTAGGGCTGAAAACTCTGTGCTTTGTGGGGTGAAGTCAAGGAGGATCTGTGACCTCGCTTGCTCAGCTGTCCTTCCAGCCACCTAGAAGGACATGTGGTCTGCAGGAGCCCAGGAACTTGAAACTCTAAATGGAATCAGATACCATGCTCAGAGCCTACCATGAGCTGGGGAATCTGGGGAGTCAGGGAGGGATGGAAAAGGCCCCAGTCATTTCATAGGAGGGGAGATGGCTCGAAACTCTCATTCGAGTGACCTCTGGGGTCCTACTTACTCCAGAGCAGTCAGGCTTCTGTTGACCAGGAGGGATCTGGCCAGAGTTTTGGCCCCTTTGTTACTGATCTGGTTCTCAGCCAGGCTGCCCAAGGAAAGGGAGAGTGGTTATTCAGGAGATGAGTCTCATTGCCTCTTCCTCAACACAATGCCCAGCGTCATCAGAGCCTACGCAGGTGGAGACAAGGTAACTTCTGGAGCGGAAAGCCATGGGAAGGCCCTCAGCCTGGGCTGGTAGGACCCGAGTGGACCAACAGAATCTCACCCTGGTAAAGGACGGCATGGAAAAGTTGGCCAGAATTCAGTGAAACTTCACAAATGCATGGCAAAGAGTTAGGACAGTTAGAGAAGTGTATTGTATGGACCCAGCCAGTGATGTGATGGAAAGAAAGTGACTCTCAGGAAAAGAAAAAAAAAAACACAAAAACCCTGATGTAGCATTTGCCAGTTTCTGTGATATAAATCCTCCCCCATGCTCAATTTTTTTACGTGTTTTTTTTTTTGTTTTGCTTTTTGTGATGGGTTTTTTTCAAGATAGAATCTCGTGAACTATTTAACTGTTTGCCCCGGGCTGGCTTCCAATGGCGGTCCTCCTGATCTCTGCCTCCCTTAGTAGCGACGATTACAGGTGTGAGCCACAGGCACCTGGCTTATGCCCAATTTAAGTCACCCCCAGCTTGCAAGGTTCCTGAAAATCTAAGAGTTCAGCTCTCACAAGCTGGTATAAACTAGTTCCACCACACTTTGATCCTACCTTGCTCTAGTACAAAACAACAAATGGTAGAATTTCCACAAAACTAACCTAAGTTTAAAAAAAGTGTATCTACATGTGCCTTAAAAGGTGCTTCCAGCAAAATGCCGGCGGGTTAATTTAGTGTTGTTTCATGTATCCACTTTCAGAAATTGAGCTGTTGAGGTGTCTAGTTTTGTAGGCATCATCCCACAGGCTGTACAGTCATTTAGGCCTCATGCTTGCTAAGTAGGCTCTCTACCACTTGAACCACTCCACCAGCCCTATTTTGTGATGGTTTTTTTGAGATAGGGTCACCCAAACTATTTGCCCAGGCTGGCTTTGAACTGTGATCCTCCTGATCTCTGCTTTCTGAGTAGCTAGGATTATAGGCATGAGCCACTGGTGCCCAGTGATATATTACTTTTAAAAAGAGTTCTTTTTTTTTTTTTTTGTGGAACAAGGGTTCGAATTCATGCTTCATATTTTCTTGGCAGGTGCTGTACCACTTCAGCCACACCTCCCAAAAGAATCCTATTCTCTTTTTGTTATTATTTTATTTTTAGAATGTTTTATTTTATATTTGAATTATCATATATTGATAATACGAGGGGATTTCATTGTGATAACTCCATACATGTGTGCAGTGTATCTTGAACAAGTGCACCCCTCCATTATATTTCCATTCCTCCTTTCCCCTCCACCTCCAAAAAGTTCTTTAAGAAATGTTTGAAAGCTGTCTGCACATGGTGGCCCCTAATCCTAGCACTTGGGAGGTTGAGGCAGGAGGAATGACAGTTCAAGACCAACCTAAGCTACACAGTGAGATCCTGTCTCATAAAACCAAAACCAAAACCAAACAAAAAATTGAAGGCCTTTCATCCCAGCCACCTTCTTTGTAAATGTTCTCAAATTCTAGATAGTGTAGCCTCTGTTGCCCCAGAGCTTGTCTAATGTTTTTGTTTGTTTGTGTTTATTTCTTGGTGGTAATGGTACTCAGGCTTGCTAAGTAGGTGCTCTACCACTCAAGTCATTCTGCCAGCCCTGTTTTGTGTTGGGTATTTTCAAGATAGGTTCTCATGAACCATTTGCTCAGGCTGGCTTTGAACCATGATCCTCCTGATCTCTGTTTCTCAAGTAGGTAAGATTACAGGCATGGACCATGTAAGCCATGTTTTATAAGTAACATTTCACAAGCAGCCATGTGTGTTTTTTGCAGGATGGCTTAGGTATTCCAAACAGGAAGGTGGCATTTGAGGACCAGCTTTAAGAGGAGAAAAAAGAGCTTGTGGCCATAGAAGAAATGTTTGGCTTTGTTCAGAGTCATTTCTGAGTACTATCTAGCCTCCTTCAAGCAAAATGATTTTGTCATGTGCTAAAAATGCTAAGGCTTCCCATGAAGGAAAAAATAATACCAATAACGAGCAGGTGTCGTGACATTTTTCTTACGAAGAGATTACACTTTTTATCTTTCGCTAGCAAGGCAAAGGCAATCATGATAAAATTGCTAGCCCTTACCCTGGTGTTCAATTAACTCTAAGCCTCACAAGAAAAGGGTTTGGATCTTGAAATCTTGCCTTCACCCCCACTGAGAGAACCTGTGTTTGTTTCCCTGGGGGCCTTGAGATGAGCTGGACAGTTTACCTCTCAGTGTGGTTTATGGCAAGGGGCTCAGGCCAGGCAGAATCAACTTGCCTTCTGGAGGGCCTGCAGACTAAGGTCATACCTGCAGGTGGTCAGGTATGTCTTTGTGACCAACCCCCAGTAAAATACTCTGAGCAGCAGGGCTGGGATGACTGGCATCCCTGGCTATCAGCCCTCCCTGGGCCTTGTCACACACATCAGTGCTGGGAGAAGAAAGCGCAGTCTGTGCAGCTCCACTGGGAGAGGACACTGGAAGCTCAAGCTCATCTCTCCTGGCCCCTGCCCCACGCACCTTTTGCTTTTCCTGGTGTTTTATCTGTTCCCTTCAGTGTAATGAAGCCTAACCATGAGTATAACAGCGTTTCTGAGTTCCTCATGCTTCTAGTAAACCATTGAACCTGAGGGTGGTCCTAGGACCCCCAATCTCACAGGTAGATACCCTTTAAACCCCATCTTTCCCTCTTTAGGCACAGAAATGACTCGTTCAAGGCCACACGGAACTCTAATCCTCACTGACTTACTTGTGCTCCTGACTCATTCTAAAGTATCATTAACTCAGATAAAGATTATTTCAGGGCTGGATATGGTGGCAGATGCCTATGGTCCCAGCTGCTTGGGAGCTGGAGGTAGGAGGATCACAGTCCAATGCCAGCCCTGGAAAAAAACACAAGACCCTATCTGAAAAACAAACTAAAAGCAAAGGACTGAGGATGTGGCTTAAATGGTAGGGCTCCTGCCTAGCAAATACAAGGGGCTGGGTTCAAATCCCAGTACTGTTAAAAAAAAAATATGTCAGGACCCAGAAGCTTGTGTGAGGATAAAAACTACTCCCTGAATCCTATTCTCTAAAATCACCTCTCTACTTTTTGGAAAGCTATCTTACATCATCACATCCATTTGATTACAAATTAGGGTGCTCAGATCCAGAAGTGTTATTCCAGAAAAGATTGCATGAGCATTTAAGTCAGCATGCATATAAACTTTTGCCTAATTACAACATTAAAAATTCAATTTTAAATTTAAAAATTATTTTGCATTAAATTTTAATTAAAATTATCCGGGCACCTGTGGCTCACGCCTGTAATCCTAGCTACTCAGAAGGCAGAAATCAGGAGGATCACAGTTTGAAGCCAGCCAGGGAAAATAGTTCATGAGAAAAAAAAAAAAGGCTGGTGGAGTGGCTCAAGGTGTAGGCACTGAGTTCAAACCCCAGATCCACAAAAAAGAAAAATTAAAATTTTTTGAATGAAAGTGTTGAATTTTAACTAGAGATGCAATCCTGTACCTAGAATTCTATTTAAGAGCAAACACTGAGAGAAGCTTAGAGAAAAAAATAGCCCTTGAATCACAGTGGCACATACAGTGCTGTGTCTACAACAGGATCTGAGCCTCACCAGGTCGTTTCCCTGTTCTTGCAGGTGACATAGCTGAGCCTTGGGCACTTTTTAGAGTGGACAGAAACAAGAAGACTGCATCCTGAGCTACACACCACAAAAGTACCTCTCCTCAAGGGTGTCACTGGCCAACTGAGCAGAGAGGATGATGGGAAGGGAGTCCTCTACCCTCAGAGGCAGGTGGGTAGCCTGGGCTGGGATTACCTGACCCTCTGAATGCGACAGTCCTTCCCACTCAGCATACTGCTCAGCAGCTCCATCACGGGGTCCTGGAACTGGTTGTTGTCCAGCCTGGTCAGGGGTAGCAGCAACAGTGAGTGGTCCTACGACCCACGGGCAAGGTGGGGTTTCCCTCTCCTCTGCATCCCACTGCATCCCACTCAGCACCATTGCTGAGAGATCTATGCTCAGCAACCCCAAGTGCTCAGACCTTCCCTACTAGAGTGATCGGTGAGGACCAGTGCCTGTGCGCCCTCAGTTTCCTCCCCAGGGAGGATGGTCCAGGGGCTCTTGTCCCAACAATCCTGCATACTACCTGCCTCTGCCAGGCAGTTTGCTAGTTCTACTTCTGAGGATATGTCCTGAATGACCCCCGTCCTGCACCTTTTCCTCCCAACAGAGCTTGGGACAGAGCATGGGCTGAGGGTACAGTCTTTGGCTGTAGCTTCTGTCAGCATTGTATGGCTCAGAGGGTCTTATGGGGTGGATTGTGTCTCCAGAAAAGGTGTCTCCAGGGCCTCAGGAATGTGGCCTTATTTGGAAATAGGGTCCTGCAAATGTCGTAGTTAAGAGGACATCACACTGGATTTGTGTAGACCTTATAACCCAGTATAATGGTGTCCTTATAGGAGAGACCAGTGCCACGTGAAGGTAGAAACACACAAAAGAAGACCACCATGTGACAATGGAAGCAAAGGTTGGTGGGAGACAACTATAAGCCAAGGGGCACTGCCAAGAGTGCCTATTTTGCTTAGTGTAGACACATTTCTAGAGGAGGAGGAAGGGCCCTCCCCTGTGGATTTCAAAGGGAACATGGGCCTGCTGGTGACTTGACTTCATACTTCTGGCCTCCAGAACTGTGAGGGAATGAAGTGCTGTGTGGCTCGGCACTCAGCGTGTGGAACTTTGCCATGGCAGTGCCCGCTGACTAACCCGGAGGAGCCATTCTGGGTCCTTCCACGGTCTCCTCTACCCACACCCTCTGAACCTCCTGTCCTCACCTGAGACTCTGGCAGTAGAGAAGCTGGGGCAGCAGGCTCTGGAGGACACCCTGACTGAGGCACAGAGACAGGTTGGCCTCCTGGGCACAGGTGTCAGACACCTGCAGGAGGTAGGCCAGGGCAGCACGGTGGGAGGGGCCACTCAGCCTGGCTAGGGCTCCGCTCTGCATGGCTTCCTCCACACTGCGGGCCAACTCTGTGTGCTGCAGTTCGTGTAGGCAGTGCAGAACGTTGACTGCGCGAGCACAGACTGCAGTGTTGGGGCGCAGGCACCCCTGTAGAAGCTCAGCCACCTGAGCTCGGTAGCTCTGGTGCTCACCCTGGGCCAACAGAGAGCCAGCCAGCAGGGCATTGACCCTTGGACCCAAGAGCCCTGAGAGGAAGCGCAGAAACACATCCAGCCTCCCATCTTCTGCCTGCATGGCCCTCTGGGCTGCACTCCTGAAATGTGTGAGGAAGCCCAGCCTGGGCCAGGACATGCCGCTCTCAGTGAAGAGGTCAAAGATGGCTCTCCTGGACGCGCTGTAATAATACATGGCTGCCACAAACTCCTGCAGGGACAAGTGGGAGAAGCAGTAGGCCACTGAGGAAGCCAGTGTCTCCTCCCGCTGCAGGAAGCAGCTACACAGGGTGCCCTGTAACAGAGCAAGGTCCACGCCAAATGCTTTCATGTCTTGCTCGTAAAATACATACTTCTTCTTGACCAGCCCATGGAAGGCCAGACGGCCCAGCGTCCCCACCATCTTGCGAGCACCATGGCCCACATGCTCAATCCGAGGGCTCACCTTGCCCTTCTCCTGTCCCTCTCCACCGAGGGCCATCCTGAAGTACCAAGTGTAGAGCTCACACAGGGTCCGTGGAGGCCACAGCTCTGTGTCCTGGGGCACCGTCCTGCTGCGATACAAGTGACCCAATGCCACCCCTGTGAGCCTGCAGAAGGCTGGGACGGTGCACATCAGATACAGAGCCCTGTTAGCCTGCACCTGGCTCAGGACCTGACTCAAGAGGGTCTGGTCCTCGGGAAACATCTGCGCCAGACACACCTTGATCTCCTCTTCAGTAAAGCCCCGGATTTCCGTCATTCGGTCCACCAGGCCCCCTGGGATCTGGCCAGCTGCACTGGGGCGGGAGGTGATCCAGACAGAAACATCTGGAAAGAGGTTGCCTCGGATGATGTTGGTAATCAGGTGGTCCACCTGAATGTCCTTCTTGGGGTCCGTGCAGGCCACAGTGTTTGAGAAATCTAGAGGTATCTTACACTCATCTAAGCCATCTAGGACCAGGAGCACCCTGGCCGGGGCTGTCACTACCAGGCCAGACTCCCCGACATTTGGGAAGACAGAGCGGACGAGTCTCTCTGCAGACAGTTTCTCATGAATGTTGAGGTCCCGGAAGGTCAAGGGCAACACCAGCGAGAAATCCTTGCCCACCTGCCCTTGGGTCCACAGGCGGACAAAGTGCCTCACCAGGGTGGTCTTGCCCATGCCAGCCACCCCAACAGTGATGGAGACGCGTGGTGGGATGGACACCCTGGACAGAGGCAGAAAGAGCCTGTCCAGGGCAAGGGTCCTGGCGGGACGCTGACCCCCACGAGTGGCCTCCACCTGTGTGAAGTCGTGCTCTCTCAGCTGTAGGTCTGTCAGGCCCTCCACCATCAGGAGGCTGGCCAGCCGGTGTGAGGGGCCACAAGGCTCTGGGCTGCCTCCTACCCTGCTCAGTAGAGCCTCTCGGTGCCTCTGTATCCTTGAGTCTGTGGGACACAGGCCAGAGGGCAGGGCAGGTAAGGGCCAGGGGTAAGGGGAAAGGGTCCGTGCATACCCTTCTGTTGGCTTCCCAGGGCAGGGGTCTTACCATTGCTGTGGGATCTCAGTGGGGAATCAGGTGTCCTAGCAGGGACCTGTGGGGTCTGAGTGCCCTGGCTGCCTTTCCCAGCCAGCAGGTCCATGAGGGCCTTCACCTGCTCAGCTGGGAAGCCTGTGCTGTGGGCTTGGTTGGTCTCCCCCACTCGTCCGCATCCCCTGCTTCCTCAGGGGCTCCAGGATTGTGGCCAGGAGCTGTGAAGACAGTACCTAAACCTGCTGCCTGGTGAGCCACCATCCAGTAGCCTAGGACAGGTTAGTGAATCCCAGGAATGGGGCAGGAACCCCCTTTCTCTTTCCCCAGCCTGAGAGTGGCCTGCTGGCCACCCTCTTAGCACAGTGAAAATGACACATGGACCCTGGCTGTGCTGCTTACCAGTGGTGGAGTGATCCTGGCGAGGCTGCAGCATCTCTCTGGGCCTTGGTGTCCTCATTTGTGACCTGGAAATGGTGATGAACGGGTTTGCTCAAAAGGAGGGAGGAATGAAAGTCGCCTGTCTGGGAGGAAGCATAAGGCATGATTCCAACTAGATAATATTCGAGAAAAGGCTAAAGAATGGAGCTGTGGAGACTGTGAGAAGGTCAGAGGTTGCCAGGGTTGGGGGAGGAGCACAGAGGATACTTAGGCAGCGACACTTCTCTGTGTGACACTGTAATGGTGGATACGTGTCATCGTGCATGTGTCCAACCTTTACAATGTCCAATGGCAAGAGGGCCCTCTCGTGCAAAGTGGATTTGGGGTGAGTCTGATGGTTCAGCATAGATTCGATTGTGGAACCACTCTGCTGAGGGATGTGAGGAAGGCAGAGGTGTATGGGAATCCTGTACTTTGCCAGCAATTTCTCTATAAACCCAAAAGTCGTCTGAACAGAAAAATCTTTTAGTTACAAGAGAAAGGGAAGGAAAGATGGAGGAACGGGAAGGGAGGGGCAGCTGTCTCCCAGAGCAGAGGCACAGCTGCTTGCCTTAGTTTTTCTGGGCCTTACTGGCCTGCAGGCAGCATTCTCTGCTGCTGGGGACAATGATGCAGAGATGTGAAGAGACATGTGCCATGTCCCACCTGCTCACGTTGGTCTGCAGCCTTAATGCAGCCCAGGTAGACGCTGAGGACCTGAGCCTGCACCACCCTCCATCCCTCCTCACCAGGCACAGGGTCCACAGCAGTCCCTCCATCAGGGCTCTAGATTCAGAGGTGAGGATCAGCCACTTGTCATCTATGGTTCTAGGACAGAAAACACAATGTACAGTCAGCAGAGATCATGGTCCACTGCTGCTGGTGGCAGCCCTGTGTTAAAAATGATCCAGGTGCCGAGTGCAGTGTCTCACACCTGTAATCCTAGCTATTTGGGATAAAGGATCTCGGTTTGAGACCAGCCTGGGCAAATAGTTCACTAGGTCCCCATCTCCAAGATAACCAAAGAAAAATGGACTACTGGTGTGGCTCAAGCAGTAGAGCACCTGCTTTGCAAGCATGAAACCCTGAGTTCAAACTTCAGTCCCACCAAAAAAAAAAAAGATCCAGGTGCCATCAGTGGAGAAATAGCCAAAACGGCCTGGACAACCACTGATTCTTTGGTTCTCAACATTAAACTTGAGAAGAGCTTGCTGTCTACAGTTCCAAGGAATCAACTGACTCCCTGGCTTTGGATCTGCACTGAGGATCCTGCATTTTAACTTAGGGTGAATGCTTTTATGTGGAAAATGCTAGAAGAAACTTAGTGATAAGTCAAATAGCACTTTCCAGCCATTCCGTTCATAGGCATGTTGAACTGTTAAGGAATACAGCATATTCGAGGTAACTGGCGCTCAAACAAGCAGGGCTAACTTGGGAATGCTAGAAACAGGTCAGGAAGGCCGCTCTTGCCACAATTCTGCACAGTTCTGCTGGCTCTTCCCACTTTTTTATTCTTCTAAATGTCAAAACCAAGAGGAGCGGGTGCCGGTGGCTCACGCCTGTAATCCTAGCTACTCAGGAGACAGAGATCAGGAAGATCACAGTTTGAAGCCAGCCAGGGAAAATAGTTTGTGAGACCCTGTCTTGAAAAACCCAACACAAAACAGGGCTGGCAGAGTGGCTCAAGTGGCAGAGAGCCTGCCTACCAATCACGGGGTTCTTGAGTTCAAACCTCAGTACCACCCAAAACACACAAAACCAAGGGGGAAAGAAAGCTGGTGGGACTGTGATTAAAGTCATGATGTATATGTGAATTCATGTGGTTTTTTGGACATCTTTCATTGGGCCTTTAAATAAAACTTTATTTTTTCTCATCTGGAGCTTGCCAAATAACAAGTTCTTATTTGTATCTGAGGATTTTTTTAAATCATTTTTGTTGTTGTTATTCTGAATGTTGTTATTGTAAAAGAAGACAATTTTGTATTTTATCTCATATTCCATCAAAATATTAAATATTTCTGTTGGTTTTTCAGTTAATTTTCTTCAAGCTTTCAAATTACTTCATTAAGAAAGTTTTCATCTTTAAAATTGGCACTCATTTTGAGCAATTTCACCACATTGGCCTGTACGCACCCTCCGCCCCCTTTTCTAGAGCAGTGCTGACTACTGACATTATGGCTGGAGTTCTTCTTGTACTCTGGACCACATGTACCAGGAGTGGTATGACATTTGTTCAGATTTCTACTTCGTTTTCTTCTCCTCTTGGGGAAGATCCCTTGCTTCCTGTTACCATTGAGGTCATGTTACGTGATACTTACTGAAGGCATTCTGTGCCCCATTCTGCTGAACCCTGTATGCATATATTTACAGCACTGGGGTTTGAACTCAGGGCCTACACCTTGAGCACACCTCCAGTCCATTTTGCTTTGGTTATTTTGGAGATAGGGTCTTGAGAACTGTTTCCCCAGGCTGGTCTCAAACCCTGATCCTCCTGATCTCCGCCTCCTGAGTAGCTAGGATTATAGGTGTGAGCCACCGACGCCTGAATGAACACTATATTTGTGTCACTTAAAACTTGTGACAGTTCTCTTTACCATTACTTCTCTTGATTTGTGGATAAGGACATTGAGGTGAAGACACTGGTTAGGTGACTTGTCTAAGGACAAGCTGCTGGTGTAGAAACTAAGGCCTCCCTGGTCCCCAGGCCATGCTGTATAATCTTGCTGCCTGTAACAGGTTTACACATGCCTTAAACATTAGGAACATCTGTCAAATCAGACAATGACCTCTTAGTGTATATTGAGACCATGATACAATTTATTTCCATTCATTCAGTCAGTCAAGCAGCAAATACTTATTGAGGGCCTCTTCTGTGTGCACTGCAGATGTGAAAGTGAGCAAGTGGAGCAGTCTTTATTCCATGAGGGTGTGTGAGTGGGAAAGTGACTGCAAAATGAACACAAGCTGGACACTGGCTCACGCCTGTAATTCTAGCTACTTGGGAGGCAGAAATTGTGATTCTAGAGATTCAAGGCCAGCCTGGGCAAAAAGTTGGAGACTGCATCTCAACCAATAAAAACCTGGGCTTGGTGGCACACACCAATCATCCCAGCTCTGCGGGAAGCATAAATAGGAGGATTGCAATACAGGCACACCTGGATATGAGACCCTATTTGAAAAATAACTAAAGCAACAAGGGCTGGAAGCATGGCTCAAATGGTAGAGTGAGTGCCTGCCTGGCAAACAGAAGGACCTGAGTTCAAACCCCAATACCACCACTTTATTTTTCCTCTTTTCGTCTTTTTCGTTCTTACCAGTGCCACCACTTAAAAAAAAAAAAAAAAAAAAAGAAGAAGAAGAAAGCAAAGTCAGCCATGGTGGTATATGCCTGTAATTCCAGCTACTCAGAAGGCAGAGCCAGGAAAATCAAGAGACACTATCTCAGAAACAAGATAACACAGAAGGGCTGGGAATGTGGCTAAAGTGATAAAGCAAAGCACCAGGCACTGGGCACAGGAGAAGGAGGAGAAAGCAAGTACAGAAACAAGGATTTCTGATGGTGGTTAGTGCCGTAAGTGAATACAGAGTGTGAGTGGCAAAGGGTTGGCAGTGCTTTACCCACAGTGCCAGGCCTCTGTGAGAAAGTTGCATAAAAAAAACAAGTGAGAGTCAGTCATGTGAAGAGCGTTCCGGCAGAGGAAACAGCAAGTGTCCAGAGTTACTGGAGCACAGTGAGTAAGTAAGTAAGAGACAAGGCCAGAGGGGAGACCCAGTTACGGGTGTGACAGGAAGCCACTGCGGGTGAGCGACATGACTGATGTGTTCCTGATCTCTCCTTTAATCTGTGAGCTGCAGGAATAGACTTCTCCTAGTGAGCCAGTCTTGCTTTCTAGAATACAGCCTTCATTGTATATTATAAATGGAATATGTGATATCACAAGAATAAACACAAAAGTCAAACACAATAGAGCCCAGGAATCAATGCTATTTATACTGCTTACATGTAAAGGACTTTGTGGTAATATGATAAAAGTAGCATTTCAACATGTTTGGGGCATTTCAATAGGTTTGTAGTTTGAGAAAGTTAAAACTTTACACTAAACACAAAATTCAATTTCAGGTGGATAAAAGAGTTAAAATTATAAATCCAAAACCATGAAAATGCAATAAAAATGAGGAATATTTTAAAATACATTCCTTGGCAAAGACAGGCTTTCTAAAACAAGACATAAAACTCAGAAGTTATCCAGAGGAAGTCTTAACAAATTCGTCATCTTAATTTAATTAAAATATTAAATACTTATTTCATGTTAAGTTATCGAAATGTTTGTAAATAATAATAGGTACCATATGAGAAGTTGAAGAAAAACCATAAGCAAGGAGTCAACATTTTCAACATACGTGAAATAATGTCTATTTATTAACATACATCTATTAATGTCCTTCACAGATAAAGAACTATCCTAAAGCAACAAGAAATAAGTACCCAACCAGAATTATGGACATAAATAGAAACAGGGGGAAAAGACACAGATTTGTAGAAATATAAGTGACCAAGATACTGAAAAGATGTTCATTCTCAATAACGATCACAACAGAAACCAAAACAGCCAGTGGCTCATGCCTGTAATCCTAGCTACCCAGGAGGCAGACATCAGGAGGATCATGGTTCGAAGACAGCCCAGGCCCCTATTTCGAAAAAAACCTATCACAAATAAGAGCTGGTGGAGTGATTCAAGGTGTAGACCTTGAATTCAAATCCCAGTACCACAAAAAAAAAAAAAAGAAAGAAACCAAAATCATAAGCTATTGGTTTCTATCTAATGGGCAAATATTATAGTAACATAAAGACTGACATAAGAGAATGTGGCAGTAGTAGGGATCCTATGACATAGTGGAAGTTACAAAATTATGGATTTTT